AAAATGCATTGGTTGAAATCTACCGGTTATGGTGGTGCTATGATATGGACCGTCGACATGGACGATTTCAATGGTACTGCTTGTGTCGGAAACGTCAAGTATCCATTGATCGGCGCAATAAGAGAAGAATTAAGAGGTATCTCACGAGGACCGGATGCCAAGGACGTCGATTGGAGTTCAGTTGCTACTACCATCACGGAAACTATTGTTAAGAAACCAGAACCTTACAAAATTTCTATCTCTGACGCATTGAGCAAGGCCAAGAAAGTACCAAAATTAACTCAATTGGTTATTAATACGCCAACGAACGGTTAGTAAAATTTCACTCGTATCGACTGAATTATTTCTAATCGAAAATACAATGGTGTTGGTTTCGATAATTTCTCATTTTACAGAAAGAGAAGCGCAGACCATTTGTTATCTGACCAATTGGTCTCACAAAAGACCAGGCCTTGGTAAATTTTTGCCCGAGGACATCGACCCAACACTTTGCACTCACGTCGTCTATGCTTTCGCGACCTTGAACGATCATCTGCTCAGCGAAGGAAGCGATCAAGATGTTGAAATGTATAAAAGATTGATTGCACTTCGTGAGAAGAACCCAGACATAAAGGTATTATTGTTACTTTTTCTCTTTTTCTTTCTTTTTTTTTCCTTTTTTTATCGTCTTCATTGATATACGATGATTCGTCAGATATTGTTAGCTATTGGAGGCTGGGCCTTTGGATCGACACCCTTCAAAACATTGACTAGCAATACTTTCCGAATGAATCAATTTGTTTATGAAGCCATAGAGTTCCTCAGGGAATACAAATTTGACGGATTGGACGTTGATTGGGAATATCCACGGTAAATAAATATCGCGATAATAAAAAATTCACTTTTACAAATTTTTACAATAATTTTTTAGAGGAGCCGACGATCGTGCTGCTTATGTGAATCTTTTGAAAGAACTCAGGCTAGCTTTCGAGGGCGAAGCAAAGAGCTCTGATCAGCCTAAATTAATTTTATCTGCGGCTGTACCGGCCAGTTTCGAGGCTATAGCTGCTGGGTAAGTTTTGTTCGAAAGAAAAAAGAAAAAAAAAAAAAGAAAAGAAAAGAAAGAAAAAAAAAGGAAAAAAAGAAAGGAAAAAAGGTAAAATTTATCTTCTTTCGTTTGGTTATTTTGTTTCGCTATAAAAAAAAAAAAAAAAAAAAAAAGAAAAAATCGACGATAACTCCATATATGCGCATTTAATCGATTAGATATGACGTCCCGGAAATATCCAAGTACCTGGACTTCATCAATGTGATGACGTACGATTTTCATGGTCAATGGGAACGTCAAGTTGGACATAATAGTCCTCTTTATCCTCTTGAGAGTGCAACGAGTTATCAAAAGAAATTGACAGTCGTTAGTATATCTGCTTCTCGATCGATTATATTATTTTTAATGAAAATTTTATTTCATATTTATTACTTTTCTTCTTTTTTTTTTATTTTTTTTTTTTTTCTTTTCCAATTCAATTTTTTAGGACTACAGTGCACGAGAATGGGTGAAACAAGGTGCACCAAAAGAAAAATTAATGATAGGTATGCCAACTTATGGCAGATCGTTTACATTAGTCGACGAAGACAAATTTGACATTGGAGCGCCTGCCTCTGGTGGTGGTATCCCTGGTAATTACACCAACGAAGCCGGATTCTTATCCTATTACGAGGTAAATTTATCTTTTATCTATGATGTGAAAAATGAGAATAGTTAATAAGAAATTTATATGTCGGTTAGGTATGTGGATTTTTGAACGAAGAGAACACGACTTTGGTATGGGATAGCGAACAACAAGTACCTTTTGCTTATAAAGGTGATCAGTGGGTTGGTTTCGATGACGAAAGAAGTCTTATAAACAAAGTACGTATAAAAAAAAAGAAAAAAAAAAAAGACGGACTAATTTATCCTAAAAAAAATTTAATAATTCTCTTTAATCTCTCGATTTAGATGAACTGGTTGAAAGAGGAAGGTTTCGGTGGTGTCATGATCTGGTCGATCGACATGGACGATTTTCGTGGATCATGCGGTGCCGGAAAATATCCACTGATCAAAGCAATGAAGAAGGAATTGCAGGATTACAAAATCAAATTGGAATACGATGGTCCATACGAGAGTTCCGTTAGAAATGGCAAATACACTACGAAAGATCGTAAATATAATCAATGAAATTTTTTTTCCATTCAAATAATACAAATATTCATCGACTATCAATTTAATTTATATATTATCGTTATTGTTAAAGCGAACGAAGTGACCTGTGACGAAGAGGACAATCACATATCCTATCACCCAGACAAAAGCGATTGCACGATGTATTACATGTGCGAAGGTGAACGCAAACATCATATGCCCTGCCCAGTTAATCTCGTTTTCAATCCCAACGAGAACGTCTGCGATTGGCCGGAAAACGTTGAGGGATGTTTGCAACACACGCAAGCGCCGCCTTTGCGAAAATAATTAAATGAATAAGAGAGAGAGAAAAGGAAGGAAAATTATTTTTGCATAAAACAAAAAAAAGAAAAACTGCGGCATTTTACGTGTGCGATAAAAACGGAAAAAGATGAATAACAAGGATGATAAGATCTTTATCATCGAGTTTTATCAGCCCTGTTTTTAATTCAGTAGATAGATAGATAAAAAAGAAAAAAAAGAGAGACAGAGAGAGAGAGAGAGAGAGAGAGAGAGAGAGAGAGAGGATGAAATTATGAAAAGAGAAAGAAAATACGCTACCTTCGCACAAAAAAATTATAGTCGATATTTGCCCCTCCTCCATTCCCCTCGCCCTTTCCACACCGCCCCCTCACACCTGCTCTATTTCGATTTTCGATTATTACGTTTTTTTTTTTTTTTATTTCGTCGTTCTTTTTGACACGCGATATATTTCTATTCCCTTCCAAGAGAACCTCCCTTTTTACTTGTCATTTGTATAAAGCATGGACGAAATCACGAGGTATAGTTGTTTGTAAATAAAGAGAAATATAACAGACATCTAATGCCGAACAATTTCTAATCTTTCGTCTGAATTTTTGTTATTTTGTCTGTTTTTTTCTTTTTCTTTCTTTTTTTTTTCTTTTCGTTTAGAATAACTTCGTTTAAAAGGATCGAACGAGAGGTGACAATTTCGATGTATAACGTTACATAAAAATTTGTATAATTGTTAATTTACATTTTGTTTTTTTTCTTTTTTTTTTTTTATGTTAATTTTTCATTCATCAACGCACGACAAACATACTCTCACTTGAAAAAAGAAGATTCTTTCGAACGTTTGATCTTTGCTCTAATTTATATGAAATTTATTTGAAAAATAGTCGAATATTAAAAAAAAAAAAAAAGAAATTACCTCTTGGCAGTTTCTAGGCACGATCTAACCGAGCTTAATCTAAGTCTGATATCATTTAATTTCATGTAGAAATTAGAATGAATAAAACTCCTATAGTCAGTCAATACTTCATACTCCGTCGATAATTGTAATTTCGGTTGCCGTTTATCGATAAAACACGGTTTTTTAAACCCCTTGTGGTAGGCAACCCTTTGATACACATATGTTGTACGAAGTAACATGTATATAGGAGCTTAAAAAATTTTTTATGTATAAATAACACTTTTAATTGTAATTAACGACGGATTATAAAGCGTTGCCTATTTTCAGGTGTATTATTGGATAATTAAAAAACAATTAATATTAATTTAAAAAAAAGAAATCATTCATACGTGTTAACTTTTTCATACGCACATCATACGTGCTCACGCTTACACATATGTACGTATATACAAAGCATTCCCCGATACTCCGTATACTCCGTCAGCTAATCTAACTTTTTAATCAAAGTTAAAAAGATTCTGAGATTCGAACGCACGTTCGTTGTATACCAAATCCGAGGCGCTTTTTTATTTTTCTTTTTTTTTTGTTTGTTCTCGCACACACTCTTTCTGTCCTTGATTTTCAGATTGCTTTCTCGAGCTCAAAGTGTGACAAAATTACGAAACGGTTAACTCTTTCATCAGAGATGAAACATAACGAATCATTTAGCAAAAAGCAACAATACGATGAGTTGAATAAGAGCTAACCAAGTCCTAGCCAATCTCTCGTAATTGCCAGAGCTAAGTGCAGATGCCTGACATGCGGTATGAGGCGTTCCCAAAGTTAAAAGAACTTTATCAGACGAATATGAAGGTGTTGTCTCGGTGCAAACAGCTCTACCAGCAATAGTTCTTAATTGTCTAGCGTCTGATTGAGACGCTGTATGAATCTGACGAGATTCTCGAAGCCATCTTCGTAGCCACAAGCTAAGCCAAGCTATCTCACAATCGCATTCCAAAGGATTCCCTGATACTTGTAGTCCACCTGTAGGATAATCAAATTTTTTTTTATATATACATATATATATATGTGTGTATGTGTGTGCGTGTGTATATATAAAACAGCGTGAATCAACTTATTCCATATTACCTGCGACCATGTTGGTACCAACAGTCTCCCAAGAAAGATTTCCATATATGATCGATGGGCTCAACTCGTTAATGTGATTGTTCCTCAAGTCCAATGTCAGCTGTGTCAATCGCTTTGTCAGCGATAGGAATATATCAGATTGGAATCTTCTTACGCGCGTGTTCTTTATCCTTAGTATCAATTCTCCACCTTCGATCGTAGAAAATGCTTCGGAAGATATCACTTCTAGATCAGTACCGGTTATCGTTAATTCTCGTAATTGCTTCGTGAATGCATTTTGTATTTGATGCTTCAACAAGTGTTCCGTCACTTGTATCTCGATCGTTCGCAATGGTAATCCAATCACCATGTCACGAAGATTGAATCCATCAGCTAACGGCCAGGTTTGCAATTTAAGATGCTTCAAATATCTCAAAGAACGAAGGCAATCCGTATCGACTGCTCTCGTTCTATTCAAATTTCTCAAATCCAACTTTTCTAATCTGAGATAACCGAAAAAGCTTTCCTTCGTCAATTCCTACGATAATAAAAATAAAATCAAAATCAAGATCAAGCAATGTCCTACGATCGATGATTAAAATTCATTCGTTTACCTCTATTGGATTACTAGAAACATCAAGTTCCCTAAGTAAATTTAATCTGACGCTTGGCATCGATGTCAACGAATTATTCGTTAACAGCAATATCTTGAGATTCTTCAAATACTGAAACTGACTGTCGGTTGTGCTCTCGATATTATTAAAGGACAAATCTATAATATTCAGATTTATCAATGGAAAAGGTGAGATAATTCTCAATCCAGAATTGGCAAGTGAAAGTTGTCGGAGATTAGGCAGATAATGAAAGAGTTCTTTGAAATTTGCTTGAAGTGTGTTATGGGAGACATTCAGGTTCAACAATTTTCCTAAAGACACAAACGAATTGTCCGGTAAAATGGTCAATCGATTTCGTGCCAAATTCAACGATATCATTTGCGACGTTGGAAAAGCAGTCGAATCCAAATGATCCAAAAAATTATCGGCCATGTTTAAATCTCTCAAGGTGTAACCAACTTCCATAAACGATGGCGATGGTACGACTGTGAATTTGTTATGACTAAGATCGAGAATCTCCAATCTAGTACCTTCGAAAACGTCCCTAGGTAAAGATCGGATTTTGTTACCAGAGAAATTTAAGATCCTTAAATTTTTTAAGCTTCTGAATTGTTCGGTAGACAATTGAGCTATCTCGTTGTTACCCAAATCAAGTTGTTGAAGAGATTGCAAACCATAAAATGATTGTTTTCTTAATCCTTCTATCTTATTGTTCCGAAGATTCAATACTTGCAGTTGATTCAGAGCAAAAGTTCCTGCAAATGAATCGTTGTAATCAAATGTGTCATCTTTATAAAAACGTGTCATCGATTCTTTTACCTGATTCGAGACTGGTAATAAAATTGTTACGTAGATCGAGGGTCAATAAGTCCGGTGTACCCCAAAACGTGTCGGTTGGTAAATGCGTGATATTGTTGAAACTAACGTCAAGATGAGTCAAGTTGTTCGTCGTTGATCCAGAATCGATGAAGGATATGGCATTGTAAGAAACGTTCAATGCAAACTCAGTACCACCAATCTCTGAGAAAGCATCTAAATCTAAGACGGTCAATCTGTTGAATTCTAAATGTAAAAATCTTAGACTTGACAGACCGTAAAAAACATTTCTATCCATTTTATATATTCTATTGTATGCCAATGATATCGTCACTAATTTTGGACAATCCATGATGGAACCGGATACGAGAATTTTTATGCGATTACCAGTAAGATCTAACGATCTCAATTCGGTCAGATTATGAAATGTCGATTCTGGTATCATCACGAGAAAATTATATCCCAATTTGACGTCCCTCAATTCTGGATGAACGGTCGATAAAAATATTCTTTCGGGTAGGTAATGCAATCTATTAGATTCCAGATTGATGTAACGCAATTGTTGAAACGAATAAAAAGCTGTTGGTTCGATCGATTGAAAATTATTATTGTCGAGAACCAACCAAAGTAAATTGCTCAGAGGTCTTAATGCACGTTGTGGAAAATTGTCCGTTGCAAATGCAAAACTCAGCTCCAATATATCAAGACTCTTTTCGATCCCAATGAAACAGTCATCGTCGAGCTCAGTGAGATGATTAAATGATAAACTGAGCTCTTTCAATTTACCTGGATTTTGTTTTAAAAGAAATTAATAAAACCTTCTCGTTGATATATGTTAGATATATATTTATGAAAATCACAACGCACCTGCTCCTTTGAATGCTTCCGCTTTGAGTTTGGTTAAGAAATTATTACGAAGTAATAAAATCTCGAGATCTTCGGCCCAATCGAAATCGCCTGACTCCACGTGAGAGATCTTGTTATAACCGAGATTTAAATGAAGCAATCTCTGACACCTGTCGTCCGAACTGAACAATTAATTTCAACCCATACGTATACACACACACACACACACACACACATATATATATATATATATAATTACTACATTTCTACATTACCAATTAGTACACATTTTCCAACTAGCCTTTCTCCATTTAAAAAAAGAAAAAGTACCTGGCTAAAGCAGCTGAAGGCACAGCGTCCAAACTATTTGTGGCAAGCGAAAGAGCCTTCAAATTTTCAGCGAAATTTTGAAAACTCTCGCTCGAAATATTACGTATATCGTTGTTGGCCAAATAAAGATAGGACAATCGTTTGAGTCCATTGATAGCAACCGGCACGCATGGTAAATCATTGTTCTCCAAGTTCAAATACTCCAAACTGTTTTCCAAACTACGAAAGGCATCGTCGTCGATATTTCTAATGCCGTTAGACGAAAGATGAATCCTTCTAGCCTCCAAACGATCAAATATACCGGTAGGTAAAGATGTCAACTTATTGTTGTCCAAATTGAAATCATTGATCTTAAGTGTTTTATTAGCGGTGGTTAAAGCATGGATCCATTCGATCGAATTTTCACTAACGTCGATCAGCTCCAAGCTTGAACTTTGGAATACCGGTAATTCCAATTGCTTCATATCATTTCCACGAAGATAAAGCCAATCTAGGTTTATCAATGTACCTAACGACGATGGAAATGATTTAAGAAGATTATTATTCATGCTAAGTGTATGAATGTTAGGTGGTAAAGATTCCTCAGCAAGATTTTCAATATTGTTATTGTCCAAGTTGAGCCAGACGAGCGAATCGAAGGTAGAAAATATTTTCGGTACTTCGATGATAGAATTATCACCGAAAAAACCATTGCGTAATGTACTCTTCAAATAACCCCAGTCACCGTCGAGCGATGTCAAATGATTGCTAAAAAAAAAAAAAAAAAATAAAAAAATAAAAAATATTCTTTTAGCAATAATGATAACTAATGATATCGTAATGAATCTTACAAACCTGTGCATGTTCAGCCAATTTAATTTTTTCAAATCTCCAAAAGTTCTAAACGGTATATCCTCTAAAGCATTGTAACTTAGATCCAACGAACGAAGACTATCGGCTACGACTCTAAAACAGATCTTAATTTATTTCATTGAGAAAGATCGAAAATAATATGATCGAATGAAAATCATTAATTACCGAAGAGAGGTATCACCGATACTGACAAGTCGATTACTCATTAATCCCAAAGCTTCGACGCCAATTGAACTTTCGAGTGCATCATTATCGAGTATTTGCATCCCAGATCCGACTATGTCCAATTGGGCGACATAACTCACTGACACGTCTAAAGACACGCGTTTAATAAATCATTGGAATTATAAGCCATCGATGAAGTCATTGTCAAATAAGAAAAGATGATACGTACCGGGAAATCTAGCAAATGGTACTCCCATACAAGTGATATCCATCTTCGTGAAATCTTCATCATCCTGCACCCAACACATACACATAGTATTAAAGGTGCACGGTACATTGTAAGATTCGATCACGATAGAGATACAATTGATCCAAAATAGAACACCGACGAACCAAAATTCCTTCCGCGATGACATCTGCACCAATCGCAAATAACAATCAATGATTTTCTTTCCGAAGAGAAAAAAAACTTCAAATCTGTTGTAAAAGAGAAGAAAAGAGAAGAGAAAAAAAACAACGGGGAAAGAATAAGAAATGAAACGAACCTTCGTCGAGTCGAACGAATAAAAAAATTCTTTCAATTAAGGAATCATTGATCGGATGAATTTCGTTCGGATGGCCAACGAATCATCTTAAAAACGTTCAAATTTCAATCTTCCCTTCATATTCGTTTCTATCATACGAACCGAAAAACATTTTGGAATAATTCACTGATAATAATTCACTGATAAGTTCAGTTCAACAGTCAGGTTGAGTTCGTTCACGGTTAGTTCCTTTGTAAAGCTCAAATGCCATCGACTCGCTAAACTCGCGCAAGCGCTTCGATGACGAATTTTATGGATCGCAAACGGTATCGAAAACTCGACAGGACGACTTCTTCGTTCATTGTAACATTGACCATCGTGAAAAACTTGAATGAACGAATCGTACTCTAACTGCCGGAGCAACATTTAATAATCTAGAGTATGGAAAAACGTATTAAAAAAAAAAAAAAAAAAGAAAAAAAAAAGAAAAAAGAAAGAAATAATGATTCACGTGATAGCGTGAAAACAAAAATTTCATGATATTTTTCATTTTCCAATTAGTTTGTTTCCTATCTCCTTTATGCCTATTCTTTTTTTTCCTTTTTGTTATTTATTTTATTCATTTTTTTATTCAACCATCTTAAAAATCAATTATAAAAAATACACTCTCAACGCTATATTTACATTGAATCTTCTTTGTAGTTATAATAATGGTAGAACTAGTCACTACAAAATCTTCTTTTACCCTGACATTTACAAATATAGTAATGACATAACTAAATTACATATCTCCATTATCATGGTCGTCGAGGCTATAATTCAAGATATTTATCAATAGAATAGAAGGAAACGTAGAATGATTATTTTTCTATATATTTTTTCGAAACGTTTTCTAATCAACGCGAATAGAATAGAAATTTATTATCATAACATACATTTTCAAATTTATAATTCTAATCGAGTGATATATAAATCTGAATGTATTGGTAAATAACGTGTTTACTTAACAAATAAATTCGATATGCTACAATTGATATGTTCCTTTTCTCTCTCTCTCTCTCTCTCTCTCTCTCTCTCTCTCTCTCTCTCTCTCTCTCTATTTCTCTCTTTCTCTTTCTCTCTTTCTCACACATCGGTTAACAGCATAAACTGACGTAAACATTATAAACGAATGGTCGATACTCGACATTATTACAAGATAATTTTTATTAAAACAGAATCTTTCATCTTACGCATGTTTAAATATAATATATGTTGTACGTAAATACAATATATATATATATATATATATATATATATATATATATAAGTAAATATATATATATATATTTAAGAAGGAAAAAAGAGAAGAAAAAAAAATATTTGTCGGAGAGTTGTGATCAAAAATACTGAAGATTGCGATTCGAATATAAACCGAAAGAATACCAAGCCCGTTTCACCGATAAATTTATGATGGAATCCGGTTATACCGAAACTCTCAAAGTTGTGTCAGCTCACCTGCAGGTGCCGACGAAACAAGAAAAGAAAGAAAAGAAAAAGAAAAAAAAGGAGAAGAGAAAAAATGTTAATAATAATGATAATGATGATAATGATGATGATGACGATGATGATGATGATAATGACACGTCGATGACGACGATGATCTTAATTTTAATAAAGATGTTAATCAAAATCACAATTAATCTTTTGATATTCATTACCAAGAACTTTAATATGTTTACTATATGTAAATATTATGTACGTTATATTCATATATTCTATTATTTTAATTCTATTTCATTCAATGAATTTGATTCTAAGGCAAAGCCATTACGAACTATTCGTGTACTTATAAATCTAAATATATAAAGTAAGAGCTTAGAAAAAATTTTTTTTTATAAATAACTAAAGAAATGTTTGTTTCTTAAATAAATTTAATCGGATATATTTTGACGAAATGATTTTACTCGACAAATAAATATTCATAAATAAAATGCAGATATATATATATATATATGTATATATGTATGTATATATATAATATTTGTAAAGTATGATTAAATATAAATAATAAATAATATAAAATAAATGTGATCATATTAACGATCAACCAAATTCTTTCATTAATGAAAATTCACGAGTATAAAACACAGTTGTTAAGCCTCTGATATTTTGACACTAATTTGGTTTCTTTTCTCTCTCTCTCTCTCTCTTTCTCTCTCTCATACCTCTTATAATATAATAATTACATTATTATTGAAAAGAAAGAGATCTATATGGCCGAAAAGTGAAAGGTATTCTGTCTCTTTCATCTCCACACATGATCTGGATTGGCATAGGGACACATAATATATCTGTCCTTCTCTTCTTCTTCACATCTCTTTTCTCTCCCTCTCTCTCTCTCTCTCTCTCTCTCTCTCTCTCTCTCTCTCTCTCTCTCTCTCACACACATTATTTTTCACCTACTCTCTTGATCACACACACATACATCACACGTATTAACAGACAAACACACATAAGCTTATGTATTCGATCCTCGAACTTCTCCACAACACGTCGACTTTCATTTAACGAGTTTACGCGTCTCCAGTCGGCCGCGAACGAACGAAAACGTTCTCTCACGTATTTACTTATTTACTTACTTACTTACTTACTTACTTACTTACTTACTTACTTACTTACTTACTTATTTACGTACATCTTCAACGCGGTAATACAGACTGTTATAAGTTTAGAGTTGCGAAAATTATTGGATTATTCTAAAAACGTTCGAAATTATCTCTTAATGTGTATTTTACTTATTTCTTATTAATCGATATTGATACAAATCAATAATACATGTACTTCTCTTCCCCTTATGTTTGTCTCGCAGTGAAGTTTACATCTCTTTCATTTTACTTTTTGTTGTTGTCGTCCTCGTCGTCGTCGTCGTCGTTGTTGTTTTCTTCTTTTTTCTTTTTCTTTTTCATTTTCTTTTTCTTTTTTCTTTCTTTTTTTTTTTTTGTTCTTTTCAAGGAACAAACGTAGAAGGTCGTGAATGAAGACAAAACCCGTTTGTTTGTTTTCTTTTTCTTTGCTGATTTTTTTTCTTTCTTTGCTTTCCACGTAAATTCTCACAGAAGAAACATCAGCCGTAGTATATACGCGAATTACGATAAATTTTGATAATCGTCCATTTGTATTTTCGAGGGTGTTAATTATTTTCTTTCGGACGGGAAGGGGAAATAAGGAGAAAGGGAAAATTTTTATTATAAGGAAAAAAGAAAAAAAGAAAGAAAGAAAGAAAGAGCAACCACAAGCACAACGACAAAAAGGTGACCATGGAAGAGAGTATAAGTTGCATGGAAGAGGAATGCCTCATCGAGAAACGAAGAACAGCGATATTGAAGGAATGTTCTGAATTGTTGAATGAGGACAACCGTTACACGAAAGAAGTATTCAGGAAATTGTTCCAAGATCAGGTACATACATTCATACTAATTGATAATTATTTTTAAAATAAAAAAAAAAAAAAAAAAAAAAAAGAAAGAATTGAAAAAAAATAAAACTAAAATCACTGTAGTGTAAGCCAATCATGCAAAAGGAGAAAGAGAGAGAGGGGGGGGCGGGAGAAGGAGAAGGAGAAAAGAAAAAAGAAATCGAATGATCTGATTGAGCATGATACACCGATTTACCATCTCAATTACAATTGCAGTGTCACCTACTAATTACGTTGTATCCTCCCAATCAAGAATTCTCGATCTCTTTCTCAAATAAACTACACGCACAAACAAATACACTCGCACGTCCCGAAATTAAAGTGACGGGCACGCTTCGAGAAAAAGAAGAAAAAAAAAAAAGAAAGAAAAAGAAAGAAAGGAAAAGAAATCCAAACAAAAAAAAAAAAAGAGAAAATACAGGACGTGCCAAAAGTTTCTAGATATGCTTAAAAAAAAAAAAAAAAAAAAAAAAAAAAAAGAATGAAAGTTCCTAACCGATTACAAAAATCGATCGCGCTTCTTCGAAATCTTTTTAAACTTCTAATTGGGCCTCGTAATTTTTCAATCTAAAGGGGAAAGAAAAGAATAACAAACAAAGAAAAGAATTAGCCGAGAAAATCTCGAAAGAGTATAATAATGAACTTTTATGAAACTTTTGATTCATCCTGTATAATAAAACGAAAACGTTCACACGCGAAACAAAATTGAACTGGCAAAATTGGCTTTAAAAAAAGAAACAGGAGAGAGAAAAGAAAAAAGAAATTATCGAGACTAGATCAAAGCGATAAATCATTTTATGAGAAAGAAAGAGAGAGAGAGAGAGAAAGAGAGAGAGAGAGAAAATATCGAAAGATATGTTATTACAGTATTAAACAAAAGTGATTTGTGGGCGAGCTACGCACGATCCTAATCGATCAGCTAATCTTTCTTACGACGTAAACTTGAGAGAGAAAGAGAGAGACAGATCTATCAGTTTCTCTCAGAAGCACAGCAACAGTAGTAGGAAATATCTAGTAATCCTAAGGCGATCATGACGACACAATCGAAGGAGACGAGAGACTATACTATCGAAGGACCAGGTTACTTTTCGATCAAGGTGTTCATTCGCCTAAGGCTCGAATGACCTTGGTTGGTGGTGCCTCTGGCATTTTATCTCTCTATCTATCTGTCTATCTCTTTTTTTTCTTCTTTCATTTATCTATTTCTTTCTTTCTTTCTTTCTTCCTTTCCTTCTTTCTTTTTCTTTTTCTTCTCTTAATTGCTCGACGAAAAGTCTGCATCACATCCTCCGATATGAGTGTTTGAACACTCTCGTTTCCTTCTCTCCTTGTTCGCGCCCATGTTTCTTATCTTACTTTTTTCTCCCTCTTTTTTTCTTCTATGTTATTAATTTACACTCATTTTTATCTTCTTTCTTTAATTATTTTCTTCCTTCGATTTTATTTTTATAATTATTAATTGTAATTCGATTTATTTCTTATTTTAATTTTTAATTAATACGAATGATAATTTCCGAGAAATCGTAACGATCCTATAAATGTCTCAATGAACATTTATCGTATCTTAAATTAATTAAACAAAATCAAAATGGAAATGAAACAAACCATTCTCAATCACGTGAAATATAATATTATACAAACTGAATCAATCAATGATTGATATCTTAGAAACAATTATTCCTTGGTTAGAAGAAAAAAAAAAAGAAAGAAAAAAAAGAAGAAAAAAGAAAAAAGAAACAGAAATTGAGATCATGTCATTTGAAAAAAGGGACCAATCGAAAAAATTGCACGTAATAGTCTATCAATAATTCTAATACTATCGCAGTTAGAAAATTTTTAATTTTTCAATCGACAAATAAAAAAAAATGAATTATTTATCGAATAAACCAAAGAATAACATTGAAACAAGATCGATCGATTATCGTTGGATCATCGGATCCTTGTTTTATTATCGATGATTATCGATGATCCTTGAATCAGAAGATACATTAATAGTAATATCAGATTACTCCAATTCTTTCTTCCTTTTTTTTCTTTTTTTTCTTTTTTTATTTTTTTCGATTAAAAATTCAATCGGAAGATATAAATCTTTAGATCTTGTAATGTGAAAATGCGATGATTATTAGAGTTCCCTCTTTTTTATTTTTTTTTTTTTTTTATACGATATTTCCATCTCTTTCCCAAGAGATAAGAAAAAGAAAGAGAGAGAGAGAGAGAGAGAAATGACACATAAGACGATGATTATACCGCTGGCAATGACCCATTTTACAGTAATCATGAAAAATGTAAGCCCGAAGGTATAATACGAGCACTCAGAGAGCGACTATAATTAATATAATAAAAGGCTAAATCCGTGTGTTATGAAAGTCCGCAAGTAAAGATTGGTTACCACTTTCATCCTGCACAAAAGATCATTTTTATATTTGGTACAGGGTCTTCCTACCAGGATCGAAAAAGAACGATCCTTTTTTTGTTTTCATTTATGTTTTTGTTTCAATTTTTGTTTTGTTTTTTTTCTTCATTTTTCTTTTCCAGATTTTTCTCGAAAAATTGTTTGGATTGTTCGATCAGGATCGAGACGAATTATTAAGGCAGGACGAGTGGTTCGAATTTATGAAGGGTAGATTAACGTAAGGGTAGATTATAATATTCCTCGATTAAATTTTCTTCTTCGATTACTTGTTTTATGTCATCTTAATGCTTTTTTCTTTTTTTCTTTTTCTCCTTTTCTTCCTTTCAGAAACGAAAAGCAACACGATTTCATCGATCAAATCGAAAGCGTAGCGTTCGTTTTGTGCGCCGAGAAACCATTGAACTTTACCAGTTTCGTTCAATTGTTCTGTACTAAAGGGGTGAGAATATGATCGGACTTTTTTCTCCTTTCGTCTCTTTAAAACTGATGTCAATTTTTAGGTAGTAGACAAACTCTTTCGATTGATCGATCAAGACAATTTTGGATATGTAACGTCCGTCCAAATCATGGAATTCATTTACAACGTCAGCAATCCAAGGTATAGTCAATAATTAAGGTTGACATGAAGACATTTAAAACATTTAAAACTAATTGACGATCGAAGTTTTTCTACTTTTTTCACTTTTTTTTTTTTTTATTTTTATAATTCATTAAATTCGACAGACCACGTGCGGGCTTTGACAAACGTAGCCTGGAATGGTTAGAAAATATTTTCAAGCAGACAGTGGGCAATCAAAAGGAAATACGTCATGAGGAATTCAAGAAGATAGTCACATCGAAGAACGTAGGCAGGAGGCATGAATGTAGATTACTTTGAACGAAACGAAAAAATGAATAATATTTTCTTTAACGCATTACAATCCAGGATCGAATTTATCATAAGATCTTATTAGACGCAAACTGGGCCCTCGCTTTTCCATACTATTATACTTTGAAATCTTATATATAAAAAAGATAAAAGAAGAAAACAATATATAAACGAAAAATAGCCTAATATATTTAACGAAGACAAAAAATTCAAAAAGAGAAGATAGAATTTAAGAAAAAAAAAAAGAAAGAATGCCTATAAATTTGACAAATTTTGAGATCTCGTAATCAGAGTAACACCTACGATCTTTAAAAGAATAAATGCGATCCTGCGTTCCAACGATAAATTTTCTAAAATAATTCATTCTATAATAAGCGAAATGTCTTAACGAATTAAATCGATTTTCAGCCATTCTTCACGGAACGTGTCTTTCAAATATTCGACAAAGACAATTCTGGGACTATATCGCTTCAAGAATTTATCGACGCCATGCACGAATTTGCTGGAAAATCTGCCGACGACAAAATCAAATTTCTTTTCAAAGTCTACGATATAGATGGTTGGTCATTTCGCAAAATCTAAAAATCATTTATAACGATTTAACGTGAAAGAAATGTATTTTTTTTTTTTTTTTATGAAAAACATTTTTTCCTTTTTTTTAATTCTTAAAAATTTGTATAATAAAAAGGCGACGGTCTGATTCAACATCGAGAACTGGAACACGTGATGAGAGCGTGCATGGAAGAAAATGGAATGAAATTCAGCGACGAACAGATCGAGGATCTAACAATGGCACTTGTCGAGGATGCTGATGCCTGTAACCGTGGTGCGATCACGTTCGAGGGATTGAAAAAGCAATTGGAGAAACACGAAGGATTGTTGGAAAATTTATCGATTAGGTTCGTGTCGATTCTATCTATCTATATGATCGAATAAATCAGCCTATAAATAATAAATAAGTTTTATTATTTCAATAGGATCAATACGATTGGATTATATTTTTATAAATTTCTCGGATTAGAATTGAGATCTTTTTAAATAACAATAACAATATTAACAATAATAATAATAATAATAATAATAATAATAATAATAATAATAATAATAATAATAATAATAATAATAATAATAATAATAAAAGAAAAAATAATTTTCCTCAAATTAAATCAATTTCTTTTCGTTCGATCGGATCGTTAATTAAATTCAATTAAATTGCAGCATAGATCGTTGGTTGGTCCCACCAAAGCCGAAAGACAAAAAAAAATCTTTCCTTGGATTTTTAAAGTCGTTACGACCCTATCAGTTAACGAAGCCCTACATGAAAAATAATTACGTTTACATAGCGTTCATATCGCTCTTTCTAACTATAAACGCAACCCTCTTCGTCTCGAGAATCTTTCAATATCGACGATGGAATGGCTACGTGATCCTGGCACGTGCTTGCGGTAACATTACGCAAAATTTGAAATAAAATTAGCTTTTTTTATGGAACACAAAATAAAAATATTTCTGCGCCAAAGAATTTTTATTTATTTTACAACAAAAAATATTTCACGAAATCGCAGGTCAATGCTTGAACTTCAACTGTTCGTTCGTTCTTGTTCTGATGCTAAGGCAATGCATAACATTTTTACGAACGAATGGTTTCTCATCGATACTCCCATTGGATCATCATATATATCTTCACAAAATGACTGGGGTTTTGATCGTTGTATTCAGTGTCGTTCACACGGTCATGCATCTTTTAAATTTCGGTGAGTACGACAAAAATATTAAATAAAGAGAGAAAAATTTTGTGAGATGCTTGGAACAAATTAAAGTCAAATTTTCTTAATGCTTTTATTTATATTTAAATAGAAAAAAAAAAAAAAAAAAAAAAAGAGAGAGAAAGCAAGAAATTTTCTTCAAAAATCGTTTCATTATTTTCAGGTATCGTTGTTTTAAACGACAAGACATTAAACAACGCGAATTTTACCATGACAGAATGGATTTTCACTAGCAAGCCAAAATTATTCGGATTGGTGGAAGGTTGTGCTAATCCTACCGGTATAGCCCTAATTGTCATACTCGTTGTAATGACCGTCTGTTCGCTGCCATTTGTAAGACGTGGCGGGTGTTTCGAGGTAAAAAGAAAAAGAAAGGAAAAAAAATTGAACAAAGAAACATTCAATGCCAATTTCATAATTTCTTAATGAAAATAATTTTCTCGTTTCTCTCTCTCTCTCTCTCTCTTTTTCTCTCTCTTTCTCTCTCTCTCTTTTTCTCTCTCTCTTTTTCTCTCTCTCTCTTTCTCTCTCTCTCTCTCTCTTTTTCTCTCTCTTTCTCTCTCTTTCTCTCTCTCTCTCTCTCTCTCTCTCTTTCTCTCTCTCTCTCTCTCTCTTATGTATTTAACAGATCTTCTATTGGTCGCATCTGCTTTACGTACCATTCTGGATTTTAATGATATTCCATGGACCTAACTTTTGGAAATGGTTCGTCGGTCCGGGAGCGATTTATTTAATCGAAAGGATACGAAGACTCGCATGGTCTCGTTCTCAACGTGGGAAAACTTACATAAGTTCCGGTCTCTTGCTACCTTCAAAAGTAACTCATCTGGTGATCAAACGGCCACCAAATTTTGACTTTCATCCCGGTGATTACGTTTTCGTTAATATACCAGTGATAGCACGTTACGAATGGCATCCGTTCACTATCAGCAGTGCTCCGGAACAAGAAGGTGATTAATGATCGTTTCCCTTTAATTAATTCTACTTTTAATTTAGATTGCAAACATATTTGACGTAAGATATTTAAACGAATAATTAATGAACCGTTTGTTTTTTCTATCTCTTTATTTATTTTTATCACGCGAACGAATTTCGTGTTCGAATGGTATCGTTGACGTATTTAGCGAACTAAAGAAAGAAACGAAATGAGTTCAAGGTTCTGAAGACAAAGAAACGAGTCCAGAATAAATTTCAATCGCGTAATGACCGACATAATCTACATATTGTGATATTCATCGACCTACTCTGTATTTTCTTTCTTGACAGATTATATATGGCTTCACATACGAGCTGTGGGTGAATGGACCAACAGCCTGTATTTATATTTCGAGAGGGAACACATGAAACTCCATCGTGGCGACGATTTATCCGTCGATAATGCTAGTAACAACGTTAATCTTACACGTAAAAAATCGTGAGTTTATTAATATTGCGCTTGAAAGCATGCAACACTTTGCACGTAGTCGGTAAAAGCGCTTGCAACATAATCCATATTAACTTTTGCTATAAAAAAAAAATGTATACATATTGCCTATTAAAGGGGCTAAAAAAATTTCTCACCTGCACTCTAATGTTGCAAGTGCTATTATCGACCAGTAAAATTTTTAAGCTCCTAAAATTATGCAACATCGCTTACATATATATATATATATATATAAACGTATTGCCTACCGAACGGGGCGTCAGAATATAAAGCGTGTTGCCTATATTCAAGCGTTATAAATATTACGAAATTAATTAAATCATTTAATGGATTTAAATTATTTTCCAAAACTTATCAAACTCTTTGTAGATTTCTCAGAATTAAATTAGGCAAAGAAGAAAAGGAAGAAACATGCTCGTTACCCGATTCACGTGGTATCGATAATCTCGTTTTCGTTCCTGACGTTAAACCTTCACCCTCATCAAACCCATCGATCAATGAAAATGGAACATTTTTGAAAACTCCGGAATGTAAGCAAATGATGACAGCAAATACGATTTTCCACATTAAAATTTTACGTAAATTAATAAGATTGATCGTTTGAAATAGGTACACCAAAGGTGATTAAAATGACAAAGGAACCGAAATTACGTCAATTTTTATTGGCCAGTAAAATGCCATTAGAAAAATCATTTTCAGTTCCTGATATGCAAACGAGATATAAGAACAAACAACGTTTGATCGCGTAAGTATCGATTAAATTAAGCTAATGTCATCGCGAATCGAGAAATATTTTATTAAAAAAATTTGTAAATAATTAACTTCGTTAACATATAGATTACGCGATTATGGGAGATCAGAATCCGAAAGGAGTTTCGACGAATGTCAGATACGCCAGGCTCGCATGAAATCTTTAGGCATAGCTTATCTGAGCCCGCAAAACAAATCCCTGGCTCAGAGTTTTCGATACATGAGAACGAAACCCACAATAATAGCGTTTAAAACGCCGAGTTTTGAAAATTGCGAATACGAAGAAGGAGGAACGAACTTGAACAGCGGTAAACTTTAATAAGAAAAAAAAAAAAAACCATTGGAATTATTTTTTTTATGGAGAATAATTGTTACAAACAAACGATTGTCTGTAATTCTTTCCTTTTTTTCTTTTTTTTTTTTCAGCCACGACGACGATCACAGAACAGAAAAATATTAACTCTCCAGCTTCCTCGGTCGGACAGGAAACTGCAGAGGAAGGAAGATTCAACAAAATATTCGAAGAAACTAAAGTATATGAGAAAACTAAAACGATAGAAATTAGAATCGAAACGGCATCGAATACAACTATAAATTATCCAGTTGGAAAACCATTAGAGGTGAACCAATTTATTATATCATCAGTTATAAGTTAACAATTAAAATGTCCGATGGAAAATAATCCGATAACGTACCGATAATGAATCTTGATTTAGATATTTTTGGATGGTCCATACGGTGCACCCTCGAGTCATATATTCCAAGCACAGCACGCAGTATTAATTGCAACCGGTATCGGAGTAACCCCATTCGCTTCTATCCTTCAATCGATCATGCATCGATATTGGGAAGCTAGACATACTTGTCCTAAATGCAAATTTTCTTGGGCTAACGAAATACCACCTACTGTGATGCATCTACGAAAGGTGATTAGAAATCATTAGGAAAAGAAAATGATTAGTAAAAAATGTAACAATCCATCGAAATCGTCGTCGCGTATAATCGAATATATTATAAAAGTTGATCTAATTCTTGACACATAGGTCGATTTCTTCTGGATCAATCGAGATCAACGTTCCTTCGAATGGTTCGTCAACTTACTATCACAACTCGAGATGGAACAGGCCGAATTAGGTATAGCCATGGAACGTTTTCTCGAAATGCACATGTATATTACAAGTGCATTACAAAAGAACGACATGAAGGCTGTAGGCTTGCAACTGGCAATGGATTTACTTCACGAAAAGGTTCATTTATTTTTCCTTTGATAAAAATCTAATCTCATGAAGAACTATGATAAAATGATTTTTTTCTCTTTTTCTTTTTCTTTTTTTTTTTTTCTTTTTTTTTTGTCCTCCTTATCTTACTCCTTAGGAAAAACGAGATCTCATCACGGGATTGAAAACAAGAACGAACGCTGGCCGTCCAAATTGGGACAAAGTGTTCAAGCAACTTCAAGATAGAAAAAAGGGCAAAGTTACTGTATTTTATTGTGGCCCACCTCAGTTGGCGAGAATTCTCCGGTACAAATGCGATCAATTTGGATTTAATTTTCGAAAGGAATCCTTTTAATTCTATAATTTCTTCGTTCTATTCTTTTTTCTCTGTTTTTTTTTCTTCTTTTTCTTTTTTCAAAATTACGATCGATATCTCGCTCTCGTATTCCCGATTATTTTTTGATTTAAATAATCGAATCTATGTGGCCGACTTCTAGAACAAACACATCGTTGTATTTTATAAATTATTATATATATTATATAAATTTTAATTATTTTATTCTGATAAATTATTCTTACTTATCCAATACTTTAAGTATTCCCTATCTCTTAATCTTCGAAACGATCGATCTAATTATTTTTTTATATTGTCCATGACTCTGGCTAATTCGTGTATTACCCAAACGAACAATACGATTAACAGAAAGTTCACTTGTCCTTCTGTCATACTTTATTTTCCTTTTTTTTTTCTTTTTTCTTTTTTTTTTTTTGTTTTTTATATAATTTTATTTATAATTTTATTCTTATTTACAATTTTTATAATTTCATTTATAATTTTATTCTGAAAGGGTACTTTTTTTACTTTTTTATTTTTGACGTCAAATATCCTCGTTAAATTGTCTATTATCGATTTTATGATCTTCAAATGTTTCTAATAGATTTTAATTAATTTCAAGTGGCTGGTATTATCACCATTACATACGTTGGTATATAGTAAAAATATTGAAAAACCGAAATACGCAATAATATGTAATATTATATTTGATAATTATATAATATATAATTATTTTTATAATTTATAGTTTATAAACTATAATTGCATATGTATTTTTATTAAGTATTACTCTTACCCTTCGTCGGTAAAACATTTTTTGTAGATAAACGCGTAATCTGTTTTACCGATCGATAAAAGAAAATGTCTAATAATTCAAGAAAACTAAAATCCAGAAGAACGGCGACACTTTGATACAAACCGCCTAAATGTCGTTATTGTTCATACCTCTTAGTTTGCTATCTAATTATGGCACATGGTGATTACTCTTTTAAAAGTAACAAGTATTGAAAGAAAACGTGGCACTGAATCGTTGTTCCTGAAAATATTTCCATGTATTCGATGAAACTAAGAGAACCTATTGCTGAAAGTATAATATATAACTGCCTATTTTATTTTATCAAGTACGTTATTATTTAATCATATATCTCATAACTTTCTCATCATACTGTACTTATATATATATATATATATATCTATAAACGATTTATTATAAAATATCAATCTTGTTAATTTTAGCTCTTCAAATTATAAATTATTTTAATTCTGATTGGTATATGTTGTTAACTATACCGTTGACAGTAGCTATGTGTCTATTTAGATGGTAAACATGAGAGTACTTTTAATATTTCTTGGAATCATACAATTTTTGGACTTTTTTACATTATCTGCCGCATGGGACAATGATGAATTAGAAGTTTTCGATGTTGTCGAAGAAGTTAATCAAAATTTCTACGATCTCTTGGGTGTTTCTCAGGTATAATATATCCCATTTATTCTGTCTTACTATAAGAAATGAAAAATATTTTTTGCATTGGATATGTTATATGTATATCTAAAAAAAATTCTTTATAATTATTTCTTTTGACCTAGGTGGCAAATGCCTCAGAAATTAAAAAAGCTTTTAGGCGATTATCCCTTCAGCTGCATCCGGATAAGAATGCTGCTGAAAATGCAGAAGAACAGTTTAGAAAAGTAAGTCTACTTTAGAAATATCTAAATTTTATCCAATTTTTAATATCATAAAATTTATTCAACTTTTAGTTGGTTGCCGTGTATGATGTCTTAAGGGATCCTGGAAAGCGACAAAAATATGATAACGTTCTTGTTAATGGCTTGCCAAATTGGCGATCAGCTGTATATTATTATCGACATGTAAGAAAAATGGGATTGGTAGAAATGAGTGTTATTTTATTTATGGTGATTACGGTTGGACAGTATTTAATAGCGTGGGCTGCATATTTCGAAAAGAGGTACACTTATGTGAGTATGTATATTTGAAATAGAGAATATTGTTCTACTTCAAATAAATCTGCTTTTTATTTATTTTTTTTTTAATAAAGTTCACAAATTTTTTCTCATTAGTAATGTTCTAGATGGTAGTACAATTAATCTGTTTTTTTTTCCTGCATCTAAGAAAAATATTTATTTCAGGAACAAGTACTTGGTAGTAAGCTTCAGAAAATGCAGAAAAAAAATAGAAAAGGTAAAATGGATGTTCCAGATTTAGCTGATATTTTAGAGAAAATTCCAACTCCAAGCATTTGGAATACTCTTCCATTTCAACTTCCACGATGGACAATTGCATCTATCGTATCTATACCATCTATTATTCGTGCTATAAGTGAGACCATAGAAGAAAGAAAACGTATGAAAAAGAAAGAAGAGGAAGAGGCATTGTTAGAGTCTAATATTATATTTATCAAATTTAATGTGCTATATGCAATATTATTTTATTGATGTTTGTTACATATTTTTTTCTTTTTTTATGTCGCAGAGCTCAAGAAAATGAACAAGCAGAACCCGATACTACACCGCGTGGTCCAAGAAGACGAAAAACTGGATTTCCTCTTCAAGAGAGAAATGATAGCAATTCAAAAGTGGTACCAAAAAAGGACAACAACGATGCAGATCATATTTACGAAAAACCTACAATAACTGGTGGATTATGGACCGACGACGATGTAATAGAATTAATAAAGCTCGTTAAAAAATATCCTGGTGGTACGCCAGAGCGATGGGAAAAAATTGCAGATACAATGAATCGTACAGTCGGAGAAGTTACGCATATGGCCAAAAAGGTATATCGTATATTGTAATGATTTCGAAAGAGAGAGAGAGAGGGGGGAGAGAGAGAGATAAAGATAAAAATATTAGATGTTAGTAATTAATTTTTTTTTTTTTTATTTACTTTTTAGATCAAAGATGAAGGATTAAAACCTGGCGAATGTATTGAAGATAATACTGGAGCAGATCGACCAAAAAAAATAAAAACACGAAATGAAAATGTTGATAATACTAATACAGAATGGAGTCAAGAACAACAAAGAGCATTAGAATCTGCGCTTATAAAATACCCTAAAGGAACATCGATGGATAGATGGGAAAAAATTGCGGCCTGTGTTATAGGAAAAACAAAGGTTTGCCAATATTATTGAATTCATTTACTATATCTTTTAAATTTAATACCATTAATATTAATAAAATTTTTAGGAGGAATGCCAAGCACGATATCGACAACTAGTAGAACTAATTAAAAAGAAACAACAGTCGTGACTTGATCTACGGAAAAACATACTCAAGATTCTTTTATTAAATGTTTAATATTTCGTGTTACCATTGTAAAAAACAGAAAAACGTTTGTCCAAATTTATTTCTAATGTTTTTTTATCTGATCAAACATTAGATAATGAGAAATGCAATCAATTTATTAACATTCAAACGTAATTCTTTTTTATAAGATAAGAATTGTCCAATTTCATGAGTGATATAATACAAACATCTTTAACTTATCAAAATACTTGTAACACTATTACAATCATGATAAAATGATAATCTTCCATTTTGGCAAGATATCATTAAACCGTTCCATCATTTACCACGCCCATATATCAAGAATGTATTTATTTAATAAATTTAATACTTCGTTAAGAGAAAGAGACTGAAGAGATATAAAGTTAAGATATAATATTCCTATAATTTAGATTTAAATTGAAAATATAATTTTACTTAAGTCCAAAGTCTTACATTCTTAAAAATGGAATAATTATTACAGTCATATAAAATGTACATATGTACATATAAATACAATAAATTCATCATACGTTCGATCTAATTAATGAAAAGTGTTGTGATATACACAAACAATATAGTTTGCATCCCTAATTGCAGGGTATCCCTAATGATATATCAAACATTCTATTTAAATTATATTTTATGATATATTTATCATGAACGCGTCTCGAGAAAAGAAATTAAAGAGATCTGTATACTATTTAATGATTTTTTTTCAAACTTACACAATTAATAAATAACAAATTCGTATGTAATTATTACGCATTGTCTGAATCATACGTGCATCATCTGAATGTATTTGAAATATATACATTTTTTCTCTACATCATATAATTACAGTTTATATTACGTCGTGCTATGTAATAAATATACGTAAAAATGTGTTCAGAAGTATATTACAACTCTTATATATCTGAACATTCTAATAATTTATTCTTTTTTTCTTTTTTTTCTTTTTTTATGATGTTTGAATAAGAGTACTAACACCAATGATCTCTCTACGTTGTATAAAATTATTTATTTACAGATCGTTTATTTACAAAAAGTTTATAATATCAACAGTATATACTTAGAAATTAATTTAATTAATTTAATTACGTCTTCTACGAACCCTAGATATTCGCCAGGCATTAGGTTCTTCATATTTATTATATAAAGGTTCAAGTCTTTGATTCTTTTTGAATTTACTGAGTTTCGTTGGGTCACTAAATTTGAAAAATGCTGGAGCAAACTCTACCAACCATTTTGGATCTATAGTAGTTACTTCTCTCATATACTCTTTTGTAGTTTGCACTAACTCATGATAAATTACCCATTCGGGTTGCCTATTGAATAATGCACTGCTTGGATGAATGTACACTACCTGACTATCTACTAAAGTTCTGTAACCTTCTTGAGGATCCTTCTTGGCAGCATTTCTAAAGAATCCAGAACAGACTGCTTTTTGAATTCTAACAGTATTTTTTCCCGCTGATACTACATCGAGTTTATGCCTATCCATTATACCTAACAATTGTTTTCGTACATCCTGTGCTCTCTTCAATGTTCTCATTTGAACAAAATTTTCATAACACCACGCATTACTAAATTTATTATTTCTCCAAGAATTATAAACTGCCAACAGTGTTAAATGATCACCTTCTGCCTGATTGAATTTCGCCTTTTTCTGATCCGCTAAAGCTTGTTTATCCTTTGGCCTATAAAAAACATTCTGTACAGACAGCATACTAACTATAGTTAATATTTCATCCGAGCATTGAAGGTGTACGCTCATAATTAACATTTTAGATAAATTAGGTTCTAAAGGAAATTCTGCCATGCGTCTACCAAGACGTGTCAAGAGACCTTCGTTATCTAAAGCGCTCAAACTGTGTAAGGATTCTAAGGCCATAATAAGCGATTCTACTGGTGGTGCATCCATAAAATCAAAATGTAATAAATCATTGATTCCCATTGTTTTTAATTGCAGTACCGTAGTAGCTAAATTTGTTCTCTGTATTTCTGGTACAGGTGTCGGTAACATTTCATCTCTATACGCTCTCTCTGTATAAAGCCTGTAACATTTTCCAGGGCCTGTTCTACCTGCTCTGCCTGCCCGCTGTTTTGCAGCGGCTTGACTTATAGGAGTTACTATAAGACTATCCATACCAGTTTTAGAATTATAAACTTTCTGCTTCACAAATCCTGGATCGACCACATAATAAATACCGTCTATAGTTAAACTCGTTTCAGCAATGTTCGTTGCTATAACAACCTTTCGCGAACCCGGTGGAGCCGGTTCAAAAATTCTGGTTTGCATTTCGGAAGGCAGTGCGGAATAAACTGGTAAAATGATTAATTCGGGTACATCAGGACCTAATGATTTCATACGTTCATATAAGATCTCACATGCTGTATCGATCTCCTCTTGACCAGTCAAGAACAAAAGAATATCACCAGGAGGCTCTCTTAAATGTATCTGCATAACAGTTATAAGTGCAGCATCCAAATAATCAGTCTCTGGTTCTTTAGTATACATTACTTCTACTTCAAATGTTCTTCCAGGTATAGTAAAAATCGGTGCTTCAAAGAAGTATTGAGAAAATTTTACAGCATCAAGGGTAGCACTGGTTACAATTAACTTCAAATCAGGTCTTTTACCAACCGCTTGTTTAAGAAGTCCAAATAAAACATCTGTATGAATAGTCCTCTCGTGTGCCTCGTCCAACATTATTACGGAATAGGTTTTTAAATCTAAATCCATAAGACATTCTCTAAGTAACATACCATCTGTCATGTACTTTATGCTCGTCTCTGGGCCAGTACAATCTTCAAATCTGATAGTATAACCTACTTCTTGGCCCAAACGACATCCAAACTCTTCGGCTACTCTTTTAGCAACGGACATGGCAGATATTCTTCTCGGTTGAGTACATCCAATTTTACCGCGAGCAGTAAATCCTGTTTCTGCTAAATATTGAGTGATTTGAGTTGTTTTCCCTGAACCAGTTTCACCAATGACAATTAAAATTTGATTATCCATCACAGCCTTTACCAGATCATCTCTAAGTTTGTATATCGGTAAAGTTTGACGTTGTTCGAGCAATGTCAAATTAGTTTTCTTACCAAATGATGATTTCTTCCCACCTATTACATGCTTTTTCCATTCTGGCAGATCTTGCGTTTGCATACCTATTCCACGCATATTAGCAACAAGCGTTCTGCTTTCAGCATCTGGTAGTGGATCAATCCAATTTTTGTTAATACCAGTAGGAACAGAATCCATTTCCTGTTCTCTCTGTAACATCTTTTGTTCCCTTCTTTCTTTCGCCAATGCGCTCTGCATCATTGCAGCTTGGGCCAAAGAGCCATCAGGATTTTTTACTATACGCACAGGACTCAAATCTCCCAGTGCTCTACCATGGCCATGTAAAAATGGAGGTTCCTCTTCCACCAACTCAATTTCTACATCTTCTTCTTCGTCATCTTCCCTAGGTAGAACTCCTGTTTCTGTATCGAATTCAGGTAATTCGCTTCTATCTATACACGATGCGGCAAGCATCTGCTTTATTTCCCATTTCTCCGGGGAGGATAATCTCTGTACACGCTTTCTAGAATATGTTTCATCTTCATCCCATGTACCTTGAATTTCTAATAATGACGTTGGACGATCTGGATTCCTCAAATATTTTTCATCTTCCTCAATCTTATTAACTGCCACTACGGGATTTAAATCTCTACCTGTTTCTTGATCAACATCTTTCATACTTAAGGAAACTTTTTGCCCTCCTACATTCAATACCTTAACAAGAACTTTTTGTCCTCTGGTTACTACGTCACTAGCACTAGCTACTCTCCCTTCTCTTCTTAATTGCGAAATATGTACTAAACCCTCCCATCTTCTTCTTAAACCTTCTAATTGAACGAAACAACCAAATGGTACTATATTAGCTACTTTTCCTGTATATATTTGACCAACTTCTGGCTCAACCGAAAGTTCCTCCAAGGATCTTGATCTAGACCTGTCACGATTCCTTGAATTTTTTGAATCCTTATAACCGTGTGACCTTGATGTTCTACTGGATGACCTGGATCTTCTTCTACGTCTCCTACTGTGTTCTCTATCCTTTGATCTAGAACGATTCCTAGATCTAGATCTACGTTTTTTATCTTTTCGATCATTCGATCTAGACCTATGTCTTCTTCTTTCTCTATTCTTTTCTGAATCTTTATCTCTGTTACTATGTTTATTACGCTTATGATCATCCTTTTTTCCATTTTCATTGTTTTTCAAATTAGACGGCGCTAATGCCTCTAAAGATGCTAAAACGTCGTTAACTATATCTTTATCTGTTTTTTCACTATCTTGCGTAGATTGCAAGACATCATTCGGTAATGCCAACGCAGGAAACTTTTGTGCTAATTCGTCTTGTTTGGACTGATTAGTTGTCACAGATTTATTAGAAGGTGCAGACGGTTTCATATGTTGTATTATTCTAAGCAAATTCGCTATAAATGAGTCCGAAAATTCGGCACCATTTTCGATCAAAACTTTTTTAAACGTTTCGAAAGTATTATTTTCTTCCGATAAATGAATTATAAATTCGGCCAAATCTTTATCGTTTAATCCTAAATGATTTTCTAATTCTGTACAAATTTTTGACACCAAGGATAGATGTTCCAACTTCGTAACCTCGTCCATGTTGCTTTTTCTTTGTCAGAAAAATCGTAACACTAATAACAATAATATCGTAATTGTACTCGTAAATCGTACGAGTAAAAATACAAAGATTATTTTACAATATAACGTTTTGACCGTATATGAAAGATAAAAGTACGCAAACGATGATTTTATACGAAAAACAAGATTATTTCGTGTCTTCCTCACTCTCGCGATCAACGCACGAAATACGTTTGGACGCCATATTGTGACGTCATCGTAAACAGCTTAGTCCACCAATGAACAAGTCAGCACGACAGATGATTGGTCCGCTCAATGTACCAATAAGAATCTTCCAATAACAATAGCGCCACCGTTCCTTCTTACAATTTTTCTTCTTAACTTACGACTCTTTTAATTATCATTTTTTTGTTACTCGTTTTGTTAAGAATTTAACCAATATAAGTAGAAAGAGATACATAACAACGTCTTATTTTTTAAATTTAAAATATAACCTAGATCGAAATATGCGGATGGAAAGGAATACCACGACCATCGTATTAACGTAACGATAGTGATGATAATAATTGTAAAAAATACTATTAACTAATTGTTCTATCTAATACAACAGTTATTTTTAATTATTATTATCCATTGAAAAAAATATTTTATTAGTCTATTAAAATTAACGTCGAATAAAAATGTCATATATACATACGTCTTAATGTATTACAATGGGACAATTTGATACTTTATAGAGGATCGTCCAATCAATGCAGATCTTTAAAGCGTACTTATGATTCGAAAAAAAATTGAATATATTGTATGATAATTTGATATTCAATATAATATTGGTCAGTGTATTTATTTTATTATTAAACCAATCATATTTCGTTAGTATTTTTAAGAATGATTATTATCGTTTTCTATAAAATTAGAATATAATGGAAGTTGATTTGATTTACATTGTAAAGGAAGCCATTTTCTATAGTGGCCGCCTTTCATCCGGAACACGCGATCGAGGTTCTTGGCGTTGAACGTTACGCCTTTGAAAAACTTGTATTTTTAACCGTGTATGCGAAATAATTTTGTTAATTATTAAGATAGTGCGTATGATATACGTCTAAAACGTATTTATAGTGCAAACATGGCGCGATATGGGCAAAGACCCGAAAACGCACTGAAAAGGGCGAACGGTATGTAACACCTTTTAGCATTGAAGACATGACATGGCTGATAGCCTGGTCTAACCTGCATGAAAATTTTAATTTTATTACTTTATGTATTCGCTTTATTTTAATTTTTCTTATTCCTGTACGATTAATTTAATTTTTCTTTTAAATGCGATTAAAATTATCTAAAGTAATAGTAGACTTTTTTTTTAGATAAGATAATTTTTAATAGTAGAATTTGTTTTCAACTTATGTCTATATACCAATTTTATGTACTGTGTCAACATATGTATGTAACGACACGATTCTTGGTCAAGTATCTGCGTGTATTGATGAAATGAAATTAAAAAAAAAAAGAATTATATACTTTTCACATAATCTCGTCATGAAATTTCTTTATCCCACAAGACTTTATTAAAGCGAAATTAATCAATTAGAATACTCTTTGTCTCGTCCTTATGTATATAAAATTTCGATAATAATTGGAATAAAATTAAAAGTATTCTTTTATTCTGATCATGTTCGAATCGATCGTTCATCTCATATATACTTAATTACTTGTTAAACACTTCATTCGTTTTAATTATACATTATGGTAAATGTGAAAAGCAATGAAATATATATTCCGCATGTATACACACACACGTATATATATATTCGCACACACATACACTTATATATACACGTTAGTAGGACTTTCGTGTGGGATCGTGTGTATGTGCGCACACGTCGTGTGTATGCACGCACCAACGATGCATGTGATATATAATAAAAATATTTTATAGCATTTTAAACACACAATGCTACATATTTATATAATCTCTGTTATATAATCAGAAAAGTCTATATTTAACGAACAATATCCAATTTGTTCATGTTTCTTTTTCTCATGATAGAAAGTTGTTTTTATTTTAGCTAATTAGTGAAAATTCATGAAATTTCATTATATTTAATGAAATCGAATTTATTTCCGTGGATTTTCAATAATTTTACAAGATATATAGTTTATGTATTCTTACTTTTATTTATCTTTTCTCTTTAACAGAATTCATTGAAGTTGGCAAACCAGCCAGAGCTTTGGACACGTTGCAAGAAGTCTTCCGAAATAAAAAATGGACATACAATTGGTCAGAATCGGTACTGGAACCTATAATGTTCAAGTACTTAGATCTTTGCGTAGAATTAAAAAAATCTCATATAGCGAAGGAGGGCCTTTTCCAATATCGTAACATGTTTCAATCGGTTAACGTTGGAAGTTTAGAAAATGTAATTCGTGGCTATTTACGAATGGCAGAAGAGAAAACTAATGCAGCAAGAAAACAAAGTCAACAGGCGGTCATCGATATAGATGATCTGGATAATCTTGCAACGCCTGAGAGTATTTTACTTTCTGCTGTAAGCGGTGAGGATGCACAGGATAGAAGCGATCGAACAATTCTTACACCTTGGGTAAAATTTTTATGGGAATCATACTGTCAGTGTTTAGAATTGCTAAGAACCAATGCTCATGTAGAAAGTTTGTATCACGATATAGCACGTATGGCCTTCCAATTTTGTCTGGAATACAATCGTAAGACTGAATTTCGAAAGTTATGCGAAAAATTACGAAAACATCTGGAGGAGATATGTAAACTTCCACAATTAGTTTCTAATGTCTCTATGAACAAAGCTGAAACTCAACAATTGAATTTGGAAACTCGACTTAATCAATTAGATTCGGCAATTCAGATGGAACTTTGGCAAGAGGCATTCAAATCGTCCGAGGACGTGCATGGTATGATGAATCTCTCCAAGAAATCGCCTGTTCCAAAAACGATGGCTAACTATTATCAAAAATTAGCTATGGTCTTTTGGAAGGCAGGTAATTATTTATTCCATGCAGCAGCTCTCTTTAAACTATTACAGTTGTCACGCGAGATGAAAAAGAATATGTCACCAGAGGAACAACAACGAATGGCTAATCGCGTGTTGCTAGCCACTTTGTCGATACCATTGCCATCGGCACATCCTGAATTCGATCGTTTTATTGAAACCGATAAGAGCCCTTTGGAGAAAGCTCAAAAGCTCGCGACACTTTTAGGATTAACACAACCACCAACGCGAGTTTCCTTATTGAAAGACATTGTCCGATTGAATATCGTCAATCTAGCCTCAAGCCAATTACAGGAATTATATTCATGGTTGGAAGTTGAGTTCCATCCTCTGGAACTTTGTAGTAGAGTCGATTCAGTCATTCGAACGTTGCAAGCCGATGAGAATAGTCCTTTGACGCAATATATACGCGCTTTACAGGACGTTACGCTCGTTCGGTTAGTCCATCAAATATCTCAGGTCTATCAGACTATACAATTCGCTAGATTGCTGGAACTTGCCAAGTTCACAACAAACTTCCACTTGGAACGGCTTCTGGTCGATTGCGTTCGTTACAACGATATGCAGATAAGAATCGATCACGGCAAACAATGCGTACACTTTGGCGTTGATCTTTCGGAAGCTCAAAGAGAGGATCATCCAGATGGTCCAGTCCTACAAGCGATGCCATCGGAACAGATTCGTTGTCAGCTGGTTAACATGGCTACCGTTCTTCATCGTGCGATCAACGTGATCAATCCAAACAAGAAGAAGTTCGAACGTGAAAAGCTTCGTGGCGCGATGGTTAACCATTATCACGAAACTAAAATGAAGGAACACCAGAGAATATTAGGAAGACACAAGATCATCGAAGAAAGAAAGGAATACATCGAGCATATCAATACGGTTCGCGAAGAGGAAGAAATGAGACGTCAAGAGGAATTACAGCGTCAGCAAATATTGGCTGAACAAAAGAGACTCGAGCAAGAACGCGAGGAACGCGAACGGAAACGTCAGCAAAGTGAGATCCAGCAGATCAAGGATCGGCATCTCAAGGAGAAAATGCAACAGATCTCGCAGACAAGTCATGGGCAGAAGGTGTTGAAAAAACTCGACGAAGACGAGATCAAGAAGCTTGACGCCGAACAGATAGCCGCCCGCGAAGCGGAAGAATTACAGAAAGAACGTAGGGAGATGCAACAAAAATTGAAATCCCAAGAGAAGAAGATTGATTATTTGGAACGTGCTAAACGTCTTGAGGAGATACCTTTATTGGAGAAAGCTGTCGAAGATAAGATGGAACAGGCAAAGAAACGTTGGGAACAACAGGAAGCCGAACGTATTGCTGCTGCCATCGAAGAGAGACAACAAGCCGTAGCGACTAGGGAACGTATGGCAAGAATGAAGGAAGATCATGATATATTTTTGGCCAAGATTTTGGCTGAACGTAAGAGTATTTACATGGAGAAACTAAAGGAATTTGAAAAGATGTTGAACGAGGAACGTGCTAAGAGATTGCTTAAACGTAAGATGGAACGCAAAGCTGAACGTAAGATGAAATGGGAGAAGGAACGGGCTGAGGCAGCTGAAAGAAGACGTCTCGAGGAATTACGCATCAAGCAAGAGGAAGAGAAGAAACGTTTGGAGGAAGAGAGAGCAAAGAGGGAAGAAGAGGAACGAAAGAAACGTGCCGAGGAAGAAGCAAGAAAGGCCGAACGCATAGCCAAAATTGAAAAACAATCTGAAATAGCCAGAGCTCGAGAAGCTGAGATCGAACGTCGTATGGAAGAGCAGAAACAAAAGGAGAAGGAAATGTTAACAAAACGAAGACCGGATGATCGCTATCGTCCACCTAGAGATGGCCGAGATGGCTTTAGACCTAGTAATTATTTTCTCTAACTCTAATTATATACCCTTATTCTTATCGTTATTATTACGTGCTAATTAACAGAAATGATTTCCGCATTTTGTTGAAAAATTCTCATTGCTTTTTGTTATACCCAACAAACCTTTATTAATTATTCAAAGAACATTTTTCTCTGTCGCTTCTTTTCAATCTTTACTTACAATAATCAATATTTTATTAATCGTACAATATTCTTTTATTATAGCTGCTGAAATTTCAAATTGGCGTTCTTCTCAAGCTGAAAGGAATGACGAATCTAGATTGAGAGGCTGGGATTCGGATAAATGGAGAAAGGATAGGAGGAAAGAAGATTTTGAGAGAGATATAAGCGACAGGGAGAGATTAGATAAAGGACCTGAAAAAGCCGGTTTTCGAGATCGTGGAATAGTAAGTAGAAATATGTTGCTTAACAAAGTAAACAATTTCGTTATTGCTGTAACATCAATTAACATGGGCGATTATTTCACGTTTCAGTCACGAGTCATTCTGTGTAATACTGACAGTCCTCGACCTCGTCGTCCCTACCGACAAAACGATATGAGTCGTAATGATATGGATTGGCGTAGTAGAGACTCCGCCGCTCAAGATGCTCAAGATCCACCAGCCAGACGTCAAGATGATAAGTAAGCATTGTCACAACAAAAGTGTATTTCAGAATTTTTTTGCATGTAATCATTGAAGCGAAATTTTATATGCGCTTTCATTTTTTTTTTTTTTTTTTTTTTACTATTTAATAATTATAAGGTTTATTACATTGAATCGAACGACAGGCCTCGTTTGTTCGTTGCCATTATTTCTTTCATCATTTTTTTTATCATTTTTATTTCCTTTTTTTTATCTTCATAAAAGAAAACCAACGGATCCTAATCGTGTATAAAATCTGGCGGCAATGTCGATTATTACATGCTAATTCTGAGAAATACATATATATATATATATGTATATATATATATATATATATATATCGTGTATATATATATATATCGTGCATATATATATATATATCGTGCATATAATGAATATTCATGAAATTGTAATGGTAACATTCATCATCTATATTTAGATGTAAGTCCACGATGAATTAGTTAAGTTTCATATATTGAATACGTTAAGATCGATGCCCGCTTATCGACCATCTCGGTTTTTATTTACCTTTCACTAATATAAGTTAATAAACACGATAGAATTTTTATTCAATTTTAATAAGAAAGAGAGCACACTTGACTAACGTTGCTTCCAATGCAAAAGCTAACACTTCATCTTTTATATATTATATTTCAGTATATAATCGTACTAAAGTTATTAAGTTAAATGCATTCCTAAAAAAAAAAAGAAAAAAAAAAGAAAAAAAAAAGAAAAAAGAAAAAAAGAAAGAAAAAGAAGAATTGTATGATTATAAAAAAGAAAACATTTTTTATCCCGAGCTGGCCGATCTCTGGGCGGGTTTCTATATAATATAAACAGCGAAGTGACATTTCAAAAACATGCTTTCAATTAGTAGAGAAGAGGAAAGAAAGCGGCTTCCAGAAGACGATGATTGGACAAAAGTAGACCGGCGGAGTTGAAGACAAACGGAGTTAATGATGATGATGATGATGATAATGATGATGATGTTGATAATGATGATAATAATAATGATAATGATGATGATGATGATAATGATGATGATGATGATGATAACGATGATGACGATAATCATAATACAAGACACGAATCAATAGCATATACATAGATTTCTGATCGATACGAAGCTCGCATAATATCATGCTATTTTGCATATTGCTTCATTTTAATGAATAATCAATCGTAGAGCGTCGCGCGTTGATATCAAAAAGCACAAATGTATAATCGGTAATATCGCGTTGGCGTAATATCTAGATACAGGGAAAATACAACATTAAATCTCACGGAATATAATTGTATGCATACAATTTTTTTTACATAGAACATTTACTGTTTATATATATATGTATTAATTTCTACTTTGAGAAGATGGCTTCGTATCGCAGAAGAAAATATTTTATTGGATCGATATGCAGAACAAAGAGGGGAGTCCTATGGGCAATCTTCATTAAACATAAATCCTACAGAATTGGATGATAATATGTAACGATATATACAAACGTAAAACGGCGCGAATTATATAACAAAAAAGAAAAGAAAAAAAAATACGAAACGAACGAGAAAGATGAAAAGAAACATAAATAAAAGTTTCCTTATATCCTAATAATCGATAATGCGATTACACAACGTCGCATTAATAAGTTTTTTTAAGAATAATACAACTTTTCATCGAGATCATTTTTAATTAATCACAAGTTTTCTATCACCGATCCATTTGATTTGATACGAGAAAAAGGGTTAAGTCTCTCTTTCTCTTTCTTATTTAAAAATAGTCAGCGAAAAAGAAAGAATTCTTTTTATTGGAAAAGTTCATCTCAGAGCAAATGCACATACACATACACACACAACAGAGCGTTCATAAACTTTCCTTAACTATTATTATCAACTATATAATAAGAGAATATACAAAAGGAGAGAAAATGAATAAAAAGTGATGTAACATATACGAATAATATGCAGGCTATGTTTATTTTTTAGATTTAACAGTTTCATCAATTTTTGTTCTCTTTTAAGAGAACGATTGGCGCGTTATCTATTAACGACACAATCAATCTTTAAAAAAAAAATAAATAAATAAAAGAAAAAAGAAAGAAAAAGAAGGAAAGAAATAATCGAAACATACAAGAAGAAAAAACAAGTCCTATGTCACGTCTACATCTTTATTGTCGTATTGTATTATTAACTAGAATGGAAAATCCATTTATTGTTACGCCTGAAAGAGTATACTAAAACACTTAGGTATTGCATAATAAATATATCGATAAAAACTTCATCTCCTCGTGTCTATTTACAATATGTAGCATCGCGCTACAAAAACATTTCAATAAAATAGTGCTTGCTATTGGTGTATGTATATATATATATATACATACATATATATATATATATATTGCAATTAAAAAAAACTAACTGCATCAGTCAGATCGTTATTAAAATATAAAATTATAATGAGATAAGTAGTAGCTCAAATCCTCTGATCACCGATCAAAAAAATATTTAATTATAATATAGATTTGGACATACATGTGAAATTATTGAGTATTTTCTTTTCGATATACAACTATTACATTCATTTGAAAAAAGGATCATATATTCGACTAAGTTAAAACTATATATATATATATGTGTGTATATGTGTATATAAATAACATATATATACACGGACTAACATTCGTCATTAATTTTTGTTTGATCGTATGTTCACGGTGATCGGCTTCCAAATTTAAAGCAATTACAATTAAGTATATTGTACGAGAAAAATATATATTAGATCACTGATAACAATAGAATCATCAGTTAATTAGGATTTACTGTTGATTAACGTGTGTGTTACATAACGATCATTCTGAAAATAGCAATTTCTTTCACTCTCTCTCATTCGGCAAGAGATCGGCTCTACGTGCCTCGTAAAAAAAAGAAACAGAAAAGTATATTTTATAAACATACAGCGTATACTTTACGATATAATCATATAATCTTCAATATGGATACACGTGGCAAGAAAAATACCTACTCTTAGGAACTTTTGGAATATAATTTTGTGAATGCATTTAGATATCCTCTCTCTCTCTTCTCTCTCTCTCTCTCTCTCTCTCTCTCTCTCTCTCTCTCTCTCTCTCTCTCTCTCTCTCTCTCTCTCTCTTTCATACATACCTTAAAAAAAAAAAAAGTGCACATTTGTTCGATATTTAAAAAAAAAAAACTGATTCTAATAGAGCATTATTGCTGCAGCAGTTTTTTCTTCCAATGCAGGAATCGGTTCCAAATTATTGTCTTTTTCTCTTCCGGATCCCCAACCGACTAATGCGATACTAATAAGATGTACAACAGCAGCAGTTGCAACGAGCCTAGGAAAAAAAATCATATAATCTTGATTTTTATTACTTTGTGTTTTTATTTATTTATTCATATTTTTCTTTTTTTTTTTTTTTTTTTTTTTATGTTCATTTTGTATATTAAAATAAATCGTAAATGATTTCAATATTTTACCAGAATGAATAACCAAGTTCGGCCGAACCTTCACTGGTCCACATATTATCAATATCTTCCTTTGGTAGGACATTGACGTATAGCCTCGTGTAATATTGTGCTAACCATGTACCAACGCTCGTTATACACATCATCACTAAAAACACGTACGGAAAAATAACATTTCAAAAACTTAGACGACGCGCAAACGTATTCGTTAGAACTTACACGCTAAAATGTTTATAAAATAAACTCCAGGTACAGAGAGAGCTTTAGATCTCGGTGAGGTTGCCGTGTTTAGCACAGCTAAAAGTGCGGCAAAGGCAGCAGTTATCAATGCAGCGGAAGTAGCAGTTAAAGTTCCTATCCAAAGTCCCCAGGACATTACTGTTGGATCTTGCCGTAACATTTGAGGTACTGAAATAATGATTAATTAAATGGAATCATATTAAAATTCAGATTAAGATTCTTTAATGTTAATAATAGTACTATTAATTTATTTTTCATTTAAAAAAAAAAACTAATTTTCTTTTTTGTTTTGTTTATATGTATTGAATATTTATACTTATTTTTCATAAGTATAAATCGTATGTTTTTATAACACCTATATGTGAACGTATACATTTAAAGATAATTTATTTATTTAAAAAGATCCTCATACCTGATACGTGGTAGGTCCTCCAGCCATAAGCAACGTTCAATTCCTTTTTACCTTGTAATAAACCCAAATGGACTCTTCCTGCACTCTCTTGAGGATTCGGTGTCCTCCAGGGTCGAGCCTCGACCCAGTGTTGCGTAACAAGAGCAGCACAGACCAATCCACCACCGAGTAACGAGAGAAAGAAAGTTGCGAATATGGTGCCCCTTCGAAACATCGACGTCATTCTTGGATGGCGCGGTGTCTGGCCAGGTTTATAAAAATGCGGAAATCCTATGAAATGTAAAAACGGTATATATCATGAGAGAACGTTTTTTCACGTAGAAGAAAGTAGATATATAGACATCGATTCGAAGCTGAAAGTTGCATCTCTCTGGAGAGAGAAAAGACCTATGTTTTTTTACTCTATATATGTACATATGTACATTTTCAATTAAAGTGAACGTATAGCCGAACCACTCTTCGGCGATAGGCCACTATTTAAATTATCCTACTGAAACTATGTCGCCGCTTTCGCAACAATTATCCGGTCTGCTAGAAAAAGCTGACAGTGTGAAAGCGCTTTGAAAGTGAAATGACAATCGTCGCTTCTCTTCTCTTCTCTCTCTCTTTCTCTCTCTCTCTCTCTCTCTCACTCTCTTTTCTAAGAGAACAAAGTATCTACGGAGCGACTAGATGAGACACATGTGATAACAAAATTCATTAAGTTCCTAATACATAATATTCTCTAAAGTTCAACAAGTTAAAGTACATTCCTCGTATATGGATCAATCTAAAAGTAACTTTTTGATACATAATCACATCTTGATCATGATTCATGTGGGATGAGCACTTCCATTCTTAATTTAACTAACCAAAAAAAAAAAATGAGAAAGTTGGACTATGAACTCGAATAATTCAGTGCAAAATATTTAGATTCTAATCTACTCGTATCCTCGTTAATTACATTTAGACAAAAAATATAAAGGTAATTCACACCTTGGTCCTGGCCTTCGGCAAAATGAACTTGATTGAGACTCTTGGAGAACTCTCCCTGTTTAACCTTTTGGGAGAAGTCTACGTTGGCGAATCTTTTGGAAAATTTAACGCGACAATTGGACCTGTTGTCCGATCTAAGAAGAGAAGAATTCGGTCTCGGTCTTTTCGCGAACGTATACGGTATCGTGTACGGCTGAGCGACATAAAAATAAATTGGTCGATAATCCTCGTGAAGTTGTTGTTGTTGATGCTGCACGAAGCCACCGTAAGTGGTGGTCGAAGAACAATTGTTGTTGTACAAGCTCGCTGCCGTACGACCGTTACTGTACGAGCTTGCGTATTGAATGGCTCCGTAATGGTTCGCCGTTTTTCGATTATTCCCTTCCACGATTTCGAAAAATAATTGGCACTTTCTAGGTGCCTCCTCTTCCTGGCCGTCAATAGAATAAATCTCTCTCAAAACTCGATTATACGAGAAATCTCTCTTTAACGACGATATTTTTGGGCGATCGATCACGACGATCTTTTCGTCTTTAAAACACTTTCTGATTTTTTTAATGATACGACGCAAAACTTCCAAACACTTTTGAGTTCTCCTCGATAACGCACTCTTTCCTGTCTCCTAGACTGTTCCGTCTTTTCAACTGAAAAATAAAGAAAACGAAGAAGAAATTATAAACTAATCTGTATATACAAAGATGGAGGATACAAAGAATATAGCGTTAGAAAAAAGAATAATAGAATTAACAATAAATGTCTAATTCGAAGGAAAGGGATCGTCTAACTGGACGAAGCTAGGATTCTAGCAAAAGTGTATGAAAGATATTAAAAAAAAAAAAATAAATAAATAAAATAAATAAATGAAGTATGTGTGTCAAATGGCCGGACATTTCTTCGGTTAGTAGAGCGAAGGTGATCTCGTTGGAGAGAAGTAACGTAATATGATTCTGTTGGACGTTGATGATATTTTAGATTTTTCTCTCCTCTCTCTTTCTCCTTTTTTCTTATTTCTATTCATATATATATATATATATATATATATATATATATATATATATAAATAAGATATACTTGCACATTGACTCGCCGTTACAACCGGTTAGCTCCTGTTATATCCTTCTCATGAAGAGTGCGTGGCACGCGTGACGCAATTCTTCCTCGAGAACCATACATACATAAGCTTGTAAATATACGTATACGTACTTATAATGTATATGTGCGTAGTATTATATCGAACACTTGCTTCGAGATACCGTATAGAGAAAGAGTGAATGTGTGAGAAAGAGAGAGAGAGAGAGAGAGAGAGAGAGAGAGAGAGAGAGAGAGAGAGAGATGCATCGTGTGGTCCATCGAGTTTCACGAAACTAGGACACGCGATTCTCTTCCCTGTCGTCACCAGAAAGGTATTTACCTCGACTTCCTCGGGGACAAGCAAATACTCCTACTTCTATACACAGTTCGAAAATAAACATGTGTATTGTAACGAAGAAAAAAAGTAAGAGATAAAAGGATATATATATATCTGTATATGTATAAAATCGTTGGCGCAATCCATTCGTACTTTTACTTGCAAATCTTTTTCCTAAAGAAAAACATTAACTGTTTGTTTTAACAGGTAAAAAGAGAGAAAGAGAGAGAGAGGGGGGAGAGAGGGGAAGAGCGAGAGAGAGAGAGAGAGAAAGAGAGAGATAGTAAATATTTGAAAAATAAGTCGAACGCGCCACTCGATCGTTTTTTATTTCTCTTTTTCTCTTTTCGAAAGCTCTCTAGCCGCATCGAATATCCGATTTCTAAAAAAAACTAAAAGTTCCTTCCATCTTTGACTTGTTTTTTTTCGGTTTTCTTTTTGTTTTTGTTTTTGTTTTTTTTTTTTTTCTTTATAACCTAATTTCAAACTAGAATAACACGGAAGTCTATAATTTGTAAGATACTTACATGTACCGTCGTAAGTTCGCATTGCAATTGGACAGAATTTATTTTCTTCGTAAGAGGAAATTCCAACGGTGATCCTCATCGAATCAATATGGCATCCTTGTTGTATCGGATAGGACGATTTCTTCCTCTCTATATTAATCACAATAATCATCCAAGATTATAGAGGTATTTTTAACATTTATCTTTAATAATTAATAATTGCAAAAGAAAATATCTAATTATTTTCTAATCGATTATACAAATATACGTTATTAATTATTATTAGAAAAAATTTTCAGGAAATTTTTGAAGATAATTAGAACTAACCTAAGTACAGGATATATCAAGAGATAGAGAAAAAAAGTCGTGAGAAAAATAATTTTTGCGAAGTAAAGGAAGCCACGTGTTTAATCCAAGGAAGAAAGAAAGAAAGAAATAAATAAATATAGTTATTAAGCGAGGCCAGAGGATAATGGCGTAATTGAGATATAGAGAATGAGAGAAGAAAAAAAAAATGAAAGAAAAGGATAAAAGGTATTGCCTGCATCGTTTTAACATCGCTTGCGTCTCGCTCCGTTTTTCTCTCGCGGTATATCCAACTTCACGACAATCTCCTCTCTCTCTTTTTCTTCTCTTTGAATTGTGCCTGAAGTGACCTTCGATCCAACAGAAAACGCTATCTTTTTCTTTTTAATTTTTAATTTTTTCCTATCACGAATTTATCGACTAGATTCTTTGAGACCGGCTAATTTGATCGGGAAATTTTTCGAAACAACGCGTCTTTTTAACTCGACGACAACGACAACGACAACGCGCATACGCGATCCAAAGTGTAGGTCGAGAACTGAATTTTCAACTCCTGTTGCTCTTTCTCTTTATGCTCACCTGTCTACCTTCGTCAGGTGATGCAGAGGGCACCACCTTCCTTTAATGTTCTTTTTACTTATATATAAAGAAGTGATCTCTGCTTTTTTTTTCTCTTTCGAATTTTTCTTTTTCGCCTCTTCTTTCAATTTTTATTTTTATTTTTATTTTTATTTTTATTTGCATATTGAGCATAACTATGACTTTGATTTGTTTAAATCATTTTACAATCCGATAAAATTATTTACTTTCTTAATAGATATATATTTTAGATTTAGTAGAGATTTATTCTCTTAAATAGATCTCTTTCGAAAGCCGATTATCGTTTAGAGTACTTCTTGAAATTTTAGTATGAACTTTCGGGAAAACAGGAAAATATTTTGAATTCGTTCTGTCCATTCGAAAATATTTTTGTTTTATTTTGATATGAAATATGTCTGGTGACATTGTTATAAAAAAGGCTACCAAAAAAAAAATCAAAGACAAGGATTTGCAAAAAATAAAACCCAGTTTATTTACTTTAACGTTCTCTCTATTCTTTGTGATAGGTTCTCAAATAACGAGCTTCGGCTTTACTGTCTTTTACAAATATCAGGAATGCTGGTGTTCCACCACGAACCAAAAATCTGCAAAAATTATATTAACACGATTTTAGAGAATGAGACATTTTTAGTAAATAATTTTTATCAATTTTCCAACTTACTGTTCGTCCGTTAATATCTTTCCAAGCGTTTCTGAAATGTCCACTTTATGTAGAGAAATTTTATCTTTTCCTTCGAAATATATTGCTACGGTATCAGGGTTATACTGATGTTGAATATCCCATGGTGGTGGGGAAAAATATAATTCTTCTAATTGTTCTTTTATACTAGAAATACGTTGTAAAAAAAGAGAAATTATTATTCAATAGTTAAGGTATAAAAATTATTTTTGTAATTGATAAAAAACATACGTAATATCCTCGTGAAAATTTTGTACAAAATCAGTTTCTTGGAATTCAGGATATAAAAATATTACTGGCCATACAAGCTTGTTATTACCATCTAAGTGTACTTTACTTTGCATCAATTCTGGTATCTTAGATTCCAAATCTTTCAAGTTTGGAATTTTGTCACCATCAAGCAATTCTAATTTAATGCCTCTACTTTTGATAGTAGATAACAATTCTTCTTCTTCTTTAGAAAGTTTTGCTGCTTCTTTTTTCTGTTTCCTTTGGTCACGGTATGAGGTTTTCTATTATAAATTAGATAATTAATATAAATTTAATTATTATTGTATAAGATAACTTATCTGTTTAGTAGATTTGTCACAAAAATGATTTTACATCACACAATATAATCTGTCTTTTTAAATCCAATATAGCTCTCTCGTCTGGGAAAATACGTAGGATTTTATCGCATAACTCGTTACACTGTTCAAAGTCTTTTACCCTGAAACAACATCTAGCGGCTCTTTCCAAGGATTTAGCGTAATCTGATTTCAATTTTATTGCTTGTTTACTGTCATTTAAACTACACCTACAAAATATATTTAAAAGAATTATGAAATATTCTATAACGTATTTAATTTAAGAGCATTGATTTAAGCAAACAGCTATACCGATAATTTTGAAGCATATAATGTGCAGTAGCTCTATTATTGTAAAGTTGTGCCAATAATTCTTGGTCTTTGCATTTGGTTCTGATACCTTCTGTATAACTTATAATAGACATACGATATTGTCCATTATTGAAATTGAAGTTTCCATCGTCTTTATAACTTTTAGCTAATTCTGTAGAAATAAAATTAATCTATATAGAAATAATTTCAAATATTCAAATATTCAAATATTCAATATAAATACAAACGTTCAGGAGTATTTTCTTCCGATGAATATTTAAGTTGCTGTAATCCTTCCACAAGAGGAGATAGTGGCTGTCCAGGTTCTGGAGCTTTCTTCATAAAGAATGGATGATTTTCTAATTCTTCTAGCATACTCTCTTCAGTGTATCCATCTTTAAAAGTTCTCTTTTCTAATTGACTTATAAAATCATCCAATTGTCCGTCCAATTTAGTAGCAAGCTCCAAGCGTTCATCGTAGGTCCAAATTTTCTTTTTGTTCATGTTATCCATGGTTTCTTTTACTTATTATTGTGTTATATATTTATCAAAATTGTAGTATATAATGAAATAAAGGTTGGTGGTAGTAACAAAATAACCGTTCTGTGTAGAATATGGAATAATATAAAATAATTCTAATCACCCAAACTTGAGAATATATACTACTTCCAAAAAGAACTAGTTCCGTTACGCCAGCCAACAAGAAATGTAGATAGAGAATTATATTCCTTGTGGTTAGTTTCGATACATTTCATGAGATGTCGCTAATCGTATATTCAACGTTTTTAACTTTTTTTTTTTTCTTTTTTTATTATTACAAAGAATAAAATAAGAATTGTCGTGACAGCAATAAGGGATAAATTGTATTTCAAACAATACTGCATCTATTATATATTAAATTAAAGAGGACATCGTTCGTTAAACAAACTATATAAACTAGATTAGATTTTAAATTTGAAAATTGTATCGTTTGAAAACGTTAGTTTGAAACAGTTGTTATATCCTTGATCGTATGTAAACATCGAGATAAATATATGTATCGAGAAGTATAATTTAAAATTAATATCAACAAAAAAAGATAAGAATTAAAGTAGACGAGAGAGAGAGTGAGAGAGGGAGAGAGAAAGAGAGAGAGAGAGAGAGAGAGAGAGATAACAGGGCATCAAAAGTAAGAGCAATCAGATATTATATTTAGGCGGCAGAAGGGGAAAGTTTCGATTGCTCTCGGCTTTCCGAAAGCGGGGTCTCTTTGTCCAATCACTCAAAGATTCACAGCAAGATGGCGCTCGGTGAGAGGCGTTCGACGATTGGTCGATTAGACGACACGCGAAGTTGGCGAGAGCAGTCGCTCTCACGTCCTCGTAGCGGGCGCGTCGAATATGTTCCTGGGTTCGTTTGTGTGATAGTGAAAGATAGATAGATAGAGAGAGAGTGAGAGAGAGAGAGAGAGAGAGGAGATATATCGTGCGCGTTCCTTTTCTCATCACAGTCTGTTCTCTCTCTCCCTCCCATTTCTGTCTGTCGTTCGGTACCGTCTGCGCTCTCGCTCCCACCCGGCCAACTGCAAGTAGGAAGCCAGGCAGCAGCCACCCTCTCTCGCTTTGTACCCTCGCAACGGTGGTAGCGACGACGATGCGAGAAACGTAATGGCCACCGTGGGCCTAGGATAGATAAAAGAAAGGAATTCCTTTTCTCTTTGGATCTTTGTCGGCCTGGTCTTCTTTTATCGAAAGTGTCGTGCAAGAAAGAAACGACATAGAATCGGTATTACAAGAAAGATAGACAGAGAGAAAGAGAGAGAGAGAGAGAGAGACCGTTCGGACGTTAGTCCGTTTCGTTCGTCGCGGTCTGTCGGTGAAAAGTGCGTGAGCAAGAAACAAGAGAAGAAGAAGAAGAGAAGAAGAAGATAAGCACCGTTGTTGGTGCATCCTTAGTGTTACTTATGTGTGCCAGCCATTATCGAACGTACTTCGCTCCAACTATCCCCGAGGTGCGGAGGACGGGATTGGATTATATTATATCATTTTGCCTTATCGTCCAATACATCGCAGATTCTACCCTCCGTACCGAGGAACCATCGGAAAACGAGGTAAGTTAATATCTACATACTTTCTCTTTACCTTTCTCTTAGTCTGTCTTTCTCTCTCTCTCTCTCTCTCTCTCTTTCTATCTTATCTTTCGATACTAGCCGCGTGTTCGCGCGTGTGTTTGACCGACCATACGAAGATCGGACGCACCCTTGCAATGAAAGTGCGTGCCACGCCAATTTTATTATCGAACACGATAAAGATTATTGGACTGAAACGTCGAGGGCTTGTCTTCCTTCCTTCCTTTATTTCTTTCGTCTTTCCTTCCTTTATCTCTTTCCTTCTTTTTCAAATGTTAACACCGAGGAAGACCTAGGGAAAGGTCCATTTATCGTGTTCCCAATACATACATGGTAGTTCGCTGGTAATGAGAGTATGCGCGTTACGAGCCACGATCAATTTCGAAAGATTCGGCAGTACCGCTTTTGCAGAAGATGTCGCGGTGATGTCTACCTGCTTTAAAGTCATATCGTCTGGCCTTCAACGCTTTCTCACGTGCCACCCCCATTCTCTCTCTCTTTCTCTCTCTCTGTCTTTATGTATATATATATATATATATATCTTTCCTCTTTTAAAAGAACCTTTGTTCCTCGTGTAAAAGTTATAATAGTGGCACGAGGACGAATCCCTCTCATTGCAACATTATATTGCTGTCGTCTCGCCCTTGTCCGCACCCCTCTTTTTTCTCCTTTAACTCTTACGAGCGCGCGAATAAATCTCATTTCTATCTCTTTTTTCTCTCCCTCTCTCTCTCTCTCTCTCTCTCTCTCTTTTTCTCTCTCTCTCTCTCTCTCCATCTTTCTCTCTCTTTCTCCCTCTTTCTCTCTCTTATTCACACGATACTTATCGTTCCACCTTTTCTGGGCGTATACCGACGTTCAACAGACAGAAAAATTCTTCATTTTCTTTCACATTTCTCCTTTATAATCGTTAATCATAATTATTATTTAATTTAAACGGGAACGAACGTTTCTATCTAGATGATAATCTAACAGGTGTCTGTCTCCCTTTTATTATGACCTACAAACCTTTTTGACAAATCTCTTAAGGATATAACAATATATCGATAGATTCCTTTTTAAAATCTATATTATCGATCGAGCACGAGGCTCATCCTTTTTCATTGTTCCTTTCTCTGTTTGCTCTCTCTCTCTCTCTCTCTCTCTCTCTCTCTCTCTCTCTCTCTCTCTCTCTCTCTCTCTCTTTCTTTCTTTCTTTCTGTCGGTCCGTCCGTCCGTTTATCCATCCATCCGTCTGTCTACCTGTCTCTCTTTCCAACTATCGTTACCTCTCTTTGTGAAGAATTTATACGGAGATTGCTCGTCGATAGGTCGGTCGATCTGTCGTTCCTTTTAGTTTCCACGACCTGCTTCGATATCCGACGTCCTCTCTTTCTCTTCTCTTCTACTCCTTTCTTCCTTCCTTTTCTCACTTACATACGTCGATTCAGGCTTGATGGCAAGCTTTGTCTTTCTCTCTTCTCTCTCTCTCTCTCTCTCTCTCTCTCTCTCTCTCTCTCTCTTTCTCTCTCTTTCTATTTCTTTCTCTTTCTCTTCTAACCTTTTTCTCCTCCGTTCCCATTACACGACGTTATCGACTCGTCGAGAAAAATAGTTTCATGGAGCAAACTAAAATGGGGCTTTCTCTCTTTTTCTCTCTCTCTCTCTTTCTTTCTCTTTTCTCATAAGATAAAAAGGTTTCATACTATTCTTCGTCTTCTTCGTCTTCTTTTTCTTTTTTATTTCGCGACCATACGTTTACACCTTTCCTGTTCGACTTTGAACACATTACTCTTTTCCTACTACCTCTTGTTTCCTTTTTACTCTATCTCTCTTTTTTATTTGTCTTACGAGCCATTGAGAATGCATGCGTGTAGGACCTTCTACAATTCTCTCGTAACTCGAACTTTTCTATGCGCTTTTATTATTCTTTTTTTCTTCCCCCCTCTTCTTTTTCTTTCTCTCTCTCTATTCAATTTTATTTCCATATCATCTGGCTTCGTTCATTGTTCCGCGTAGTGAATTTTTGCGTACGAACCCGACCACAGAGCGATACATTTTCTCTATATGCATTCAAAATTGTACCTCATTTCTGTTATTATATTTCTACGCGGTTAGTTAATTAAGCAGGAGATACGGTACCAAAGGATTGGGAAAGGCTTGAAATGAACTAATCCTTTTGATTCGAAGCAGCACCAGCGAACGATGATAAAGCTTTAACGAATCGTGACAATGTAATCCGTTCGATTTGATTTAAATTTCCCGGGCAAATGAGTCCATTCAAAGGCAACGACGTGTTACTAGTCGTACCACGGTAGATCGCTTTTCTTCATTTCCTCTTTTACAACCCCTTCTTCTTCTTCCTCCTCCTTCTCCTACTCCTCCTCCTCTTCTATTTTTTCTCTTCGTTTTGTCCTCCTTTCATATCCCACATAGATTAGTTCTTATTCCTTTCGACGAAAGATCGTAAATGGAGTCTTTTTTTTTTTTTAATCTTCTTAAAGGAACCATTGACTGGTTCGAAAATGAAAAGGCAAAGTGTATGACGTTAGGTACGACGAACCTTTCCAATAAAATCGATCGTTATTCTTTTATAGGTGGTCCTCATAAATTAAACCCGCACGCTTAGTTCCAAAAAAAAAGAGAGAGAGAGAGAGAGAGAAAAGAAAGAAAATGAAGAAGTACATACGTTAGGATATTCGATAAAAGGAAAAAAGAGAGAGAAAAAGTTATCGAAAATTTCCGAAGAATTTCGAAGCATTATGAATGACGTTTTTATAAAGGTAACCTTTATATATTTGAGGTTCAGAAATTCAGGGAGTATGTGGCAACGCCGGAACCTTCTCTCTTTCTTTCATTCTTTCTTTCTTTCTTTCTTCTTTCGTACCTTCCTTCCTTCTTTCCTTCCTTCCTTCCTTCTTTCCTTCCTTCCTTCCTTCCTTCCTTCCTTTCTCCTTCTTCTTCGATTCCGTAGATGCATCTTCCTCGAGCAACTGCAACAGCAGCTACAGCTTCAGCTATAGTTATAGCAGAAGTCGTAGTCTGTGGCCGCAGCATCACCGGCAGAACCTTCACCGCCAACGTAGCCGTACCTTATGCTATGTAGAGAGAGAGAGAGGTAGAGAGAGAGAGCGAGAAAGAGAGAGAGAAAGAGAAAGAGAAGTTTCTTTCTCTCTACCTTTACAAACCACCTTACACCCCATCCATGCTCTACTCTTTTATTTTATTATTCGACCCGACCTCGACGAGTTAGACCGTGGCCGTGTATATACCAGCTTCTCTTTTCTTCTCTTCTCTTATTTTCTCTTCTCTTCTCTTCTTATCCTCATCCTCATCCTCGACTCCTTAGCTAACGGAGAAACTGGAATCTCAGCGCGCGTTGGATGGGGGGCTCTACTCTTGTGTCTCCTTTCTACCTTCTCCTCCACCTTCACCTCCATCTCCTCTTTCTCCTCCTCCTTTTTCTATCTCTTTTCGTCTCACCTCCCTTTCACAATCCTTATGGTTCCTTTGCTATTTTTGTCTCTCGATGTAATTACATCGCGTATATTTTCTTTAATCACCATAGACGCCATTTTATCTATAGCCGCTATGTTTTTTTTCTTATTATTCTTTCTCACGACCAATACAGAATAACAGGTGATCCTCTTCGTTGTTCGAACTTTGAAATATTATTTTTTTTTATTTTCTTTTTTTCCCGACCCCCCTTTTTTCTTTTTTTTTTTTTTTTTTTTCATCTCACCTGTCTCCATTCTTGCACTATTTTGATGATATTGTAAAATACAGGTGTCTATTGGCCGATATATGTGAAACTTTATGCCTACGTAATTCCTTTTACTTTAGCGTGAATCTTGACCAAGCCAGAGTCCCTTGCCCTTTCTCTTGTACCTTCTTTTCTCTCTTTTCTCTCTCTCTCTCTCTCTCTCTCTCTCTCTCTCTCTCTCTCTCTCTCTCTCTCTCTCTTTTTCTCTCTCTTTTTACTGGCGGATAACCCCGTAGACTTTAAGCCTGTAAGCCGACTTTACTTTAGCGCGTGCTACGAGCGTGCACGCTGCTGTGTCCCTTTGCGTCCCTGACCCTCTGCAGTCTGCACCCCTCTGTGTGCGTCGTCTATCCTGCCTCTGCTCTCTGTGTTGTTCCTCTTGCCTCTCTTCCCTTGCGCGCTGCGCCCTTCTGCACACGAATGGATATACGAACGCAGACTTTATATTGAGAATACCAAGCTCGTATAAGAATTTTTCATTGCTATGGAAGAAGAAGACGAAGAAGAAGTACCAACGAAGAAACGCGCTTTCTTTTACGATCGTTCCTTTCATTAAACATACATAGAACATTCATATATACATATATATATATATGTATGTATGTATGTATGTATGTATGTATGTATGTATGTATGTATGTATGTATGTATGTATGTATGTATGTATGATATATACGTACATACATACTTACATGCAACGTAGGGGATCGTAATCGGAATTCCTTCGAATTGCAAGGAAGTATATATGCGTGTATGCTATTTCCTTACTTATATACGCACATATATATATATATACGTAAGTATTTATGTATGTATGTATATATCTGCCGTGGTTATGTTAAAACTTCATTCGCACGGTACATTGCCCTCCTCTATATCGTTTCTTTCTTAACATCGACTGGTTGTTTTCCGAATGGACACGTCTCTTTTTCTATCTTTCTATTTTTCAAAGTACAACGGCCATCGCTCTTTGTTCTCCTGTTTCCTTCACTTGTTTTCATTTTATCGAACGTCACTCGACGACCCCTTATCTCTCGTTATCTCCCTTCATGCGACTGACCAGTGACCATATACATTTTTCCTCCCTCCATCCCTCGTCTCTCTCTCTCTCTCTCTCTCTCTCTCTCTCTCTCTCTCTCCCCCTTGCTCTCTTTATTTATATTTTTGTCTCTTTTATCTTTTTATTTCTATTTATATTTCTTTTTGATCATTTTTATTCGAATAACTTATTATGTATTTTATATATATATATATATATATATATACATATATAATAATGTTATTTATATAATAAATAATTAAATTCTAATTCGTTTGAAATATTCATATTCATATTTTTGACGCATAATTAACTCATAATAAATTAATGGATCAAGCCTATATATATATAATATCTTATACTATATATATAGTCTAACATAGTAAAATAATATAGTATGTCTTATAATATATATCTATGTATATATATACATATCTTTTCTCTCTCTTTCTCTCTCTCTTTCTCTCACGATATACTCGCAATTCCGCGCTCTTTCGTGTGTTAAGAAAATTCGACCAATCACGTGCTCCTTGGCAATATATTATGCTAATCCGTTGAAATCGGCGCGTTAAGTATGCAAGACACGTGAAATAAACACGTAATACGCCGACCTCGCACTGCACCTGTCGCGCATGCAAATCGCCAGCTACTTAAGGTCGAACCTGTTGTGATTTTTCTTTTTCTTTTTCTTTTCTTTCTTTTTTTTTCTTTCTTTCCTTTCTTCTCTTTCTCTTTCCTTCTCATTACTCTCGCCTATTTGTCGACAACACGATCACTTTTACTGACCGAGATTCAAGGATATATATATATATGTACTTTATATCTACGATCGATTTGATACGTATTTTCTATCATAATATCAATATATATCGTATATATAGGATGTATCGTAATATCGAGGATGTTTTTTACTTAGTATTTATTATCGATTATTCCGAACTCCTAGTATCATTTTTCTTAGTAAACACGCGTACCTTTGAGCATCAGTTTGCAGTCATATTAATGCGAGGAGTCATGCGTGGGTGCCTTGTGTTGTATCCCTGATACAATAGGGCTTCCGTCGTACATAAATTTACATGAAAAGTGGCTTCTGATGTACCACGAGCCAGACACAACCGAGCAATCGGGTTTTCTAAGAATTTCGTCTAATAAGGATACGAAGGATACCTTTTCAAAAGGTAAACTACTTTTCTATTCGATGGGATGCAGTCTCTCGCAAACGAGACTCTTTCAACATTAAAAAGAGAAAAAAAAGAGAACGAAAGAAAAAAGATACTCTAGCAGACACTACACTCATACGCGTCTGTTTTAATAATTTATCAAAGAATTCTCTCTATATATTATGTATACACGAGCGGGTAGAGTTAATAAGAGGAGCGAACTATAAAAAGGCTTTGGAGAAGAGAAGAAAAAATTCAACATGAAAATTGTCCTGATCGCATTAGGTACGGCTTCTTCTTCGTGCCACCTTTCTCGAGACATGACGTCAAATGTCTTTTCTAACAAAGAGTCCTACTATTGGGTTATTGAATATCTTCATTTCCACGTTTCCACGTGCTCCTTGAATTTCAGGGGATAAGAAAGAAGAAAGAGCAGGATATGCTTGTGTAGAGAAATAGAGAGGGGGGATAGGAAGGAAAGGTTAGGAAAATTTCGATCGGTTAAGTTCTCTTCTATGAGAAAGAGAGAGATAGAGAGAGGGTCGGGAAGTCCATTGTAAGCAAAAGTCCAAGTCTGTTTCGCGTCCATCTGCAGCATCTGGTTTCTTCTTATAGTACCTAAAAGTAGGTGTTTCGGTGGCTAATACCTCTGCTTCTTGGCAGGCACGTTCAACTTTCCTGGCTCGTATATATACATATATATGTATATATCTTTATCTGCCAAGTGAATTCGTTCCGAGCTCTCTTACGTATACAACAGGGAACAGAGTTACAGCGCTTTGTTCAGTCGAAGAATCGAAGGTTTTTTGTGAACAGAGAGAAAGAGAGAGAGAGAGAGAGAGAGAGTGAGAGAAAGAGGGAGGGAGGGAGAGAGAGAGAAGTCGAAGAGGCGTTGAAATTCGCCATTTTATGAGACGAGTTACTCGTTCTAATTGCCTTTGTTTACTCGCCATGTGCACACGTATATATATATATACATATATATATATATACACACACATATAGTGTATATACACACACACACACACACATAAATGTAAGCATACCCAGAAAAGGTTGCATTGGATGCAAGCAAAACGAGAAATCTTCCTCTTGTTCTCCTTTCCAACCATCGCGTATAACCGTGGTGATGTTGTGTTGAAGCACATCGTTGGCCTCTTCTCCTCCTCATCGAACGTGGTGGGTGCATAAAAGCCACGTCGGAGGAGAGTGCCATTTCTATCGAGGTGAGTGCAAATGTCGAAGAGTCGAGGGCAATGAGAAAGGATGAGCTGCACATTCCATTGGCCACGATGAATGATGCACTCGAGGAAAAGCCTTCTCTGTCGATGGTGATGATGGTTATGCTGGTTGTGCTGGTATATTCTGGTGTCAGTGCTGGTTGGTGCTGATAGGATTCTACTGCTCTACTGTTGTTGCCGATGGTACTGGTTGGTGATGATTGGTGGTGGTGGTAATCGTAGGTCCCAGTAGTAGTGGTAAGTTTCTCGCGAGGAAGAAGAAGACGCCTTTAATAGTCCATCGTTGTTGATCGATCTGACGAAGCAATATGCTAATAGAAAAGCAGATAATAGAATCGATTTCTCACTTTTAATCTATTGTTTGGTCCTTCTTTTGGTATCTTATTTGTTAGGATATTGAAATTTTCCATAAATTTTGATTCAGTTTATTTTTCCGTATATATATATATATATATATATATATATCTGTGTGTTATCCTTAAAGATAATCTTTTACTTTTCGATGCATTTTTTTTTTTTTTTTTTTTTTTTATAGACTTTTTCTTTACTTTTTTTCCTGTATGGTATTGTCTTTTTTTTTGGCATCTCGATGGTTATGTTAAGACGTCTATAAATTTTTCCTCGCGTCATTTTGTTTTTTCTTTTTTCTTTTTTCTTTTTTCTTTTTTTTCTTTTTTCTAAGATTCCTTTTCGATTTCAAAAGTTACTCTCTCTTGTCCACCCTTCCTTTAGTGCTTTTTTTTTTCTTTTTCTTTTATCTTATGTTTTTTTGGCTTCATAACTTTTTGGCATCTCGATTGTTAAGTTAGGACAGTTTCCCATAGATTTTGTCTCACTTTTGTACGTCCTTTTTTTTTTGTACGTACCTTTTCAAGTTAGTATTTTTTTCTTTTTTTTTTTTAGTTCTTTTTTCTTCTTTTTCTTTCGTTCTATGATTTTTAGCCTTTTCCTCTTTGACATCCCGATGGTTTAAGTTAAGACATCGCAGTTGTCCATTGAGTTTCACCTTAGTCTTTTTCCCTCTCCTTCTTTTAGTTCTTTTTCTTTTATCTTATAGTCTTATCTCATTTACTTTTTTTTGGCATTTCTTCCTTCTATCCTACGGTTAATCAAAAGCGCGTACTGCTTCGCATCGTTTCTAACAGGCGAGGAAAACGATTTAGATTTTTGTTATTAGATAAAAGTATATCTTTCGACAATCTAAACATCGTATACAGAGGATGTGAGAGAGAGAGAGAGAGAGAGAGAGAGAGAGAGAGAGAGAGAGAGAGAGAGAGAGAGAGAGAGAGAGAGAGAGAGAGAGAGAGAGAGAGAAAGAGAGAGAAGAGAGAAAAGTGCGGCATTTAAAAAGATCGAGTTTTAATATTCTCGAAGGATGATGATGCGATGCAAGAGATAATCTCTCTTTTTCTCTCTTTCTCCTTCTTCGTGAATTTTGAGAAATGTAATTTCTTTAGGGCGTGAAAAGTTTTTAAAATTTCCCGCCTTTACATCGGAATGCAACATAGAGAGGGGGGAGGGGAATACGTGTATGTAGATATACACACACATACATGCGTGTGTCATGTGGATGAGAGGGCGGAAAGAAGGAGAGAAAGGAGGGTGAGGAAAAAAAAGAAAATAAAAGAAAAGAAAAGAAAAGAAAAGGAAAAAAAATATAACTGCATTCTACGTTACTCTCTTTTCGACCTGATGGACATCGTTGGATTAGTGTTAGCGCTATTATATACAGCGCTAAGCAGCTGTCGTTCTGCATTTTTTGTATAAGTACGTACGTACACGCGCTCATGCACGCACGCCATCCAGTTTCACCCATGGTGTTTTCTTATGGCTTTTAAAAAGGGACCGTCGACTGGTATCGTTAGCGACCATTGTTACTTCCAGACAAATATATTTTTATTAATTTTTATTAATTTTTATATCTTTGCACCTTACCTCCTAGATCATCGTCATCCTCGTAATGTTTTAAAAGGTTTTTCTTTTTTTTTCTTTCTTTTTTTTTTTTTTTTAAAAAACTTTAAACAATTTTCGACTTACTTCCATTCTTGAAAGACTGTCTTAAAAATTCTTTCAATATAAAATTTATTTCAATTTTTAATTATACGTATAATGATACAGTATATAATTTAATAAATATAAATCCATTTGTAATTTATACATTTATATATATTTTTTTTTCTTTTCTTTAATGTCGAACAAATGTATCATTTCGATTGTAAAGAAAGGAAAGAAGTATAAAAAAGTAAAGTTTCTCTTTCAAATGGAACTACTTGTTCTATAAATAATTTAATCGACAAAAAAGAAGAGGAGTATTATAATAACAAGAAAGAAGTAAAGAAAAGTTTGTCTTTCAGATGGAATATGCAAACCGTATAATTCACCGTGTAATTCAATCGGAGAAATAAGAAAATTATAATCGTACAAAGAAAGACAAGAAAGAGAAAGGAAGAGAGAGAGAGAGGGAGGGGGAGAAGATGTATTTCTTTTCTTTTTTTATCCGGAAATTTATAACGCATAAAAATTCCCTAGCTAGTTTGTTTTACTACGCAATCGTGAAGATATGCGAGGTGTGTACACTCATGCCTCTTTTATATGGGAAGGGACAGTCTAGACTGTTGAAAATACATCGAGGAGCAAGAGAGAAAGAGAGAGAGAGAGGAGAGAGAAGTTTAGTAGTCGAGCGACGATCGAATGACGCATACTCATGAGAGGATAGGATGGCGAAGAGATTATTGAAGAGTGAGGAGGAGATGGAGGAAGAAGGGGACGATATGGGAGTCGAGAATTTGAGCTTATAGGTATCTAATCTGTGCCGTCGTAATTTGAAAGGTAGCGGATGGTCTCATCTTCTTCGTTGGTGTACTACCTATCTTTTTTTTTTTCTTCTATGACAATAGAAACCGTCTTTCTAGTCTTTAACGATCCCAAGGTAAAGAAATGCTTAGACGATCGTGATATGGCAAATGTTTAAAATGATGGTTAACAAGGGAAGGATCTGAACGATTGTATATGTACAATGTACATACATACACATATACGCTCACGCTCACGTATTTATATATAAGTTGATTTCTATGTGAATGAGCATTCGTATACCAATGCATCGCTTTGATTGGACTGTGATGTAAAGGTCTTTCTGAAAGGGAGAGAATTCGTATGGGGGAATGAGGGAACAGTTCTACCCTCTCTCTGTTTCTCACTCTCGTTATTTTTTTAATTGCTCCCTTTGATTCTTTTTCCTTTTGTAAATTCGACAAGCCAGCCAGCCAGTCAGCCAACCAACCAACCAACCATCCATCCATCCATCCATCCATTCATTCATCCCCTTTCGACGATCGAGGATCACGAGTTCAACCAAAAGGAGATCTTCGTTTTTGTTATTCCTATGTAATTCGTTATTAACAACGTTCGATGGCTTGTCGATCATTTGGCCGGTATTACATCAAAATGAATATGTGTGAATGATAATACTGAAAACAAAGGCCGTGAAACTCTCTCTATTTCTCTCTCTATCTCTGAAAGAGGGTAGTTTTCATATAAGCTCGATGATATTGCTTGATACTTTGCCTATGTATATATACGTGTAGTGTACGATCAATGCTATTCTTTGATATCCCGCGTTTAGTGACCCCTTGATGTTTTAAAATGGAAACATTCATTAGATAGGTAAAGAAGGGATTGACATGTATAATAAACTCTCTACTATGATTGCTCGTCAAAAGTTACTACTGTACTTTGTTACTTTTACTTGCTATCTACCTATCTATCTTTCTCTCTCTCTTTCTCTCTCCGACTCTGTCTCTTTCTCTGTCGAGTTAGAAGAGGATAGAAATGAATCAGAGAGATGTACGTACGTATATGCATGTACATAACTTTAAATATGAATGATCCGTGTACATAGGTATTTCTCTGTGTATATATATATATATATATATATATATTGTGTACTGTTAGAGAGAATTTTATATATATATATATATATATATATATATATATATATATAAAGAGGAAACGCGTTGCAAGATTATCGATCTCACAAGAGAAGCAATCCCTGTGAGAGCATATACGTAGTAGTATACACCGAATTAGAATAGTGGTAGTTGGGCTAATATCGCGATAAGTCGCCCGGGAGAACAATTATTACGGCATTAACCGTGGCACGGCACATTGCCATTGCAACTCTGGCTTGCAATATGAGAGAGAGGGGGGGAGAGAATGAGAGAGAGAGAGAGAGAGAGAGAGAGAGAGAGAATGCGGGGGAGAGAAAATGAAGGGGAGAGAGAGAGAGAGTGAGATAGAAAAGGCATTATCTTTTACGCTCGGAACGATTATTACTACATTAATTTCATTTTATGCGGCCTGTTGCAGGTTCGAGAGACGACGGGATAGTTCGGATCAATGACTTACTTCGCTTCCTTCCAACGTCCTAACGACGTCCTATTATTAGGACATCGTTCATTGTTCATCGATCATAATAGCTACCTCTGTTGATCGTAAAGAAATGTGAGTATGTTTGTCATTTTCTATTTTGTGACAGGTTTTATCTCTTTCATTAATGTTCTTTAAGATGAGCTAATTCGCTTGTGTGTTTCATTGTTTCTTTCTCTCTCTCTTTCTCTCTCTCTTTCTCTCTCTCTCTCTCTCTCTCTCTCTCTCTCTCTCTCTCTCTCTCTTTCTCTCTTTCTGTTTACCACTTTCAAGGTTGATCTTAATATTCAGGATTGATAAAATGGTTAGAAGCAAGGGTCCTCTTATGAATGAATAATTCTTTGATCTACTTAAATAATTAAAAAAATATTACGCTAGGATATACGTATGTCACATATACTAGCGAGTTGAGATTACCCTATCGAACGTGTCACTATCTTTTCTTGTTTCTTTCTTTCTTTCTTTTTTTTTTCCTTTTTTTTTTTTTTTTTTAAAGGTTTGTTTATTAAGATACGTTGTCGGGGGATTGTGTGATGTATAAGAATAAACTGCAGATACAATTTAGAAGGGAAAAAAATCACTAGGATAATAATACTAGTATAGAGTTAAGCTTATCGTACCGATTTATATAGCATCCGAACGCGTAGCTATTTTAATATACATTTTTTTTATCCGATTAGTTGCTCATTGATACGTATAAGAATAATTTACCCAGCCAATCTAAAAAAAAAAAAGGAAAGAAAAATCGACTAGGATATCTCTAGCGCGAGTTAATCTTATCCTATCGATTCCTGCAGCATCCAAGCGTCATAATGCTTTTTTCCTTCCTTTTTCTTTTTTTATTCCCGTTTTTTCTTATCCGATTCGTTGCTCGCCAAGAGAGTATAAGAATATCGTAGAAAGTAAATTCGTAACTCGTGGGAAAGGAATGTGCGAATACCTAGAAGAAGGAGTAGAAGTGGAAGGAGAAGAGACGGTACACAGCAGTAGTGGCATCATGCCAAGCGATCGATCGTGCGAGTTATATACAATGGACTCCTTTACGTCGTGCATCATAGAATAATCTTTCAAAAGAGTGCGCTGCTTTTTAACTCTTTTTATGATAAAGAGATTTTTTCAAAGAAAAATTCAACCGATTTTTTCAATTAACCCCTTGCACCCGACTGTTAACTCTAAGGGTACATCATAAATATAACAAATAACTCGAACGTCTTTTAAAGGGACCCATAAAGATTGAGGGTAATTAGTGATAGATAACCTTAAACAAAACTTGTGTAAAATTTCTTGGAATATTTCTTTCCTCAAGATACGCATATATATACATGTGCGTATATCCATTGCAAAAAAAAAAGGAAAAAAAAAAAAAAAAAAAAAAAAAAAGAAATGAAAAATATATTCAAATAGGAGATGCAAATTATCGCTGGTGTTACACATGCGGGAGCCCTCTTTTGTAACACAAATGATTTTAAAAATCAATTTTCTTGTTGGCTTTCTAAAGGCTTATTTTTTGTTTCAAATTGTTAGATTACAAACCTAGAAAATTAAAAAAAAAAAAAAAAAAAAAAGAAAAGGAAAGAAAACGAGAAAAAAGCAATTGATTTTTAATATCACCTTTTCTGACCATCTTGTATCATTTTAATAGAGTAATTATTTCCAACGCTGTACGATTTCATATTGAAATGATATACATAATATATTTGAATTGCTGATCGAGTTGATGATAGGAAAAAATGTTCGTGTGTGCAAAGTATTCAATCCATAATCTCAATAAAGTATTATCGAGGATTTCATGTGATAACTCACGTCAAAACTCCATATTTGATAAAGATCGGGCAATATTATTGGGTGAACGATCTTATCGAAGGATACCATTAATTTTTATCGGTTTTATTCGATGTGCGTATATAACTATCGAGTTCTCACGAATGAATCGGACTTCTTCATATATGCCGTGAAATGATGAATGTATATGCATACATGTTACGAATACAGACACACATAAATTGTATGTATATATGCATATACATATTATTTTATAATCGTGCGCAGATAACATGTAATAGGCTTGCTGAGGTCTTTCGAGGTATTAACACTTTCTGCGTACGGAGCATACATTTGAAAAGCTTAGCAATCCAATCAGAAGCGAGTTTCCACAGAGAATGTCGATTACGACATTCTTGACCCAAGCATCGTGGTAAGTAACGCACGAGTAGATAGCAACTCAGCATCGAAGAAACCTTGCGCACATCACTTGGAAACTTATATTTGTATGTGCCTGTACAGGCATGTGCGTGCGTGTCTACAGTTTAGTTTCTTCATCCTAGCATCTAATAATCTTATGAGAAAATTCTTACTAGTTGGATATCTATTCTATTTATTTTAAGATTGATCATTTTGAATATAAAAATATAAGTGAGAATAAAAAGAGGAAAAAGAAGAGAGAGAGAGAGAGAGAGAGAAACACAATAACTCGACAAAAGACTGATTCATCTCGAAGTACCCCTAAATTTCCTGTCGTTGTACTCCTCTTACAAGAGTAACTAATGAATTGTAAGGCTTCGTCAGTTTTACGATATCATTATCCCCCCGAAAAACAATATTCCTCGTTACAACACTCCTATAGATCATTTTACAATCGATTTTGTTTGCAATATCACGTTACTAGAGGAGAATCCTATCATTATAAGCTTTTCAATAGGAAAGTGGTGACTAGTGTCCCGTTTTACATCGGTATATTCGCGAAGAGGATTATAATGATAGAAGCTAATAATAATAATGATGATGATGATAATAATGATAATAATAATGATAATGATGATGATATTGACAATGATGATAATAATAACGATGGTATAAAAAATAATTAAAAAAAAAGGATAAAATAAGTAGGACTAAATAAAAATGGAACTATTTAAAAACCATATCTAATTTTTTTTTCTTGTTCATTTTTTATCTTTTAGGTATCGGCTTTCTAACCGATGGATCAAGGATTAAATAAACCGCATTCATCTCGCATATACAAAAGGCGTGCATGAAGCATGAAAAAATATCACGGATTTCTTCTATGCACCTTCGACGAATATTGGAAGATCAGTCTCCGTTTGATATTTGGAATCGAATGTTCCTCGAGGATATTTATCTGTGATGATCTCGAATAGAGATAACGTTGAATCAAGAAAACCAAGCACGAGGATATCTCCCGCAGGTCGAAATAAATAAGTTTCTTTTTTTTTTTTTTTTCTTTTTTTTTTCTTCTTCAGAAAGATAACTTTTTGGCCATGCCATTATAATAGAAGCCAAACAAAGTGCTCTACCACGATCTTTTATTCATCCCTATCGGATGATTTCAATTCGAGTAAAAGAACTGATCGGGCTATGATAAAGCTGGGAGATATTCGATTGATATTGGAGTCTGGTGGTCAAATTAATACCAGTCACTGTGGAACAAAATGTGACGGGCTAATTGAATGCTATTAACCTGTCAAGATATTACGAATGAGTGAGAAGAACACACACACGCACACACACACACACACACACACATATATATATATATAAATATAAAAAAAAATATAAGTTTAAGAATGTAGAAATATCTATGAAAGATTTATTGACTGATTTGAGATTCTAAAAATGACGAGAATACCTACGAATACTAGAGCGATGATGCTCGGTAGGTAAGAAAAGGACTGGCCCTTCTCTCTCTTTTCATTTCCCAGCCCATGAACGATAAATATTGAATAATTCATAAGAAGATCTTTTTCGCTCTTCCGATGCATCAATAAAAGAGGAAGGCGCAAATGGGAATAGAAGAGTAATCTCAAAGACTGGTCCTCGTAAGTGTCCTTATTTCGAGAATCCTCCCCACCGTCGTCTTCTCTAGGTCGTTACTATCTGCCTATTACTACTACTACTACTAGTACTCCTATCGCTGGTACCACCACCACCACCACCACCACTACCATCTTGGCTCTTCGTCGGCACTCCTTTCTCCCGGTTATGGAATGAGCCGGCGTTCGAATACTTGGACGTTCGCGGGCTCGCATAAACATTATCGAGCATCATGATAGGAACGATGCGCTTACTTCTCTCGTCATTTTTAATTACCATGCAATTTTGTGTGAACGTTTGCCTGTCAAGCGGTGACGGTGGCCCTAATAGTCCTATCTTCAATCTAGATCATACGGCGTTAGAAAAGAATCTCGCTGCAATATTTATCAAGGTCGCACACAGTTCGGCTACCACAAAACGTAGCGTACCTGCTTATGACGCTCAAGTTTCAGCTAGTACTACCTTATCGACCGTACCGTCGCCTTTAACAACCTTCACCACCGCTACGACTACAACGGCGACTAAGTCAACGACGACAACAACGACAACGACGACTAGAGCTATAACAACCTCTGCGATTAATCCCTCGTTACATTCTATAAGAATACCAGTACCTCGTGCTACAGCATCGTCGGGTATACGTGATTTACCATCGTATGCACCGCCTTCGCGAGCCTTGTTTACACCACCTCTACCGCCGGAGTACCTTCATCCATTCGCCGACAAGCCAACGCTTAGGGGTACAAATTCTGACGTACATACTGGTGCAAGAAGGCCCGTACCACCACCTAGTCTTACCCCGGCACACGAGAGAATACCAATCAGGCCGCCTGACCTAGTACAAGTGCCTGCTTCCCATGGCCCAGAGAGACACTCGCATTCCAGGAATAAAGCCATCAATACGAGCAACGTCAATACAAAATTTGGACTCGATTTTGCCGAGAACGAGAAGAGAAATAATTCGAACGAGTTTGTACCGACTCTTCATTATCCAAGCATATCGCGGATTCTTTCCGGTAGCAATGGTAGAAAACAAGACATTCCTGAGATTCTTTTGAAACCGCTTGCTACAAAGAGTCCATTGCAGAACGTACCATTGGTTATAACGACCGAGAGAATGAGTACGTCGACTATGATGTTGGTAACGACAACACCCGCTACAGGAACGACTACTATGATGCCGATGACGAGTACAGTCGATCCGTTTAAGAAGATTACTCAACCGACTATTTTCAACCTGCCAAATACGAGAAGGCAGGAGAACGACGGCGATTATCAACATGGCCTGAGAACGGAGAATGGTTTCAAGACGGATAATATCGAGATAGTCGATACAGAAAGACTGCCATATCCCCAACCTCAGCCACCGGCACCACCATCGAAGAAACCAAACGACAAGGACGGTGATTCTTTGGTACCTCACATAGATACGAATCCTTCAGAATCAACATGGAAAATCGCCTGGTCTCTTCACGTTTACGTAGCGGCCATCATGTTCACTCTGATGGCCTTATATTCGATCTACAAGATCGTTCGTTTCAACGAAGCTACCAATCTTCTTACCCAGTCGTACTTCCTCGCCGTTCATCTTCTTTTAACGACTGTCTGTACTCTGAGGTGTTTTCATCTGTTCTACGATGCCTACAATTTGGGCCATTCTTTGCCGGAACCATTATCACGTGTTTTAATGTACTTACCGGCACCGTTGTTATCGGCAGCCTTTGCAACGCTTATGCTGTATTTAGCCCGATGCTCCGAGGCACCATCGTTGAACAACAAACTCTTATCTCCAGCTGCCCTAGTTTTATTCTCAACCGTTCACATAGTTTTATGCGTCTCTCTCCACGTGTCCACTCACGTGTTAGGTTATCGAGATGAAGCAGAGATATTGCCCCTAGTTTGTCAGTGTATCTACATCATTATTTGCGTTACACTCGGCCTCTGTTATGTTTATGTGTATCGTGTCGTACGCTCGCAGATACACATTACGAACAATAAGACTGCTGGTGTCAATCACGTGGTCGCTGGCATCGATCCTTCGACCGTGGCATTGAGTACAGCAATTACGACGACCACAGCGACAGCAATACTCTTCATACTGATAGGTTTTGTTCAGCTCTATGGTATATTTGGCATACGTGAACGTTCTCAGCCATATCCTTGGGTCTGGTGGGGTTGGCAGTTCTTTGTCAGGTTACTAGAACTCTCCGTTTGTGGACTATTGGTTTGGGTCGCTAGTCTCTCGCAATATCCCCTACGAGAGAAACAACTCCAACAGCATCCAGCTCACTCAGGTTTTGCTCTATTCCCGTGTGGCAGTTCCACGTCTACGGAGAACATGGACGATGTATTGTATCCAGCTATATGCAGCACAAATCAAGCGATACAAAATTATACCATGAGGACTGGGAAACAAGTCTACGACGACAGTTTTCCACTTAACACGTTGCCCGAACATTTGAACATATCAGGTAGACATTACTTAAATAGTATCGATGATATTTTATTCAAGATATAGCTTGAACTTTATTTAAATGGATTACTACTCTAGTAATGGTTTATAGTAGTGATTAGATGATTATGAAACTGAGGTCTAACATCATATACATATTTTGATATTTGAACTTTCATTATTTAACAATTGTATCTCTGTATATATAAACGCAGATAAAAATAAATATATTTATTCTTGAATTTAGTAATTTTTTTATGTAATCGTAAAAGCTTTAAAAGTAGTGTGCGAGACAATATGTCTCTTTTAATATCTAAAACGACTTAGGTCACTTTGCTAATTATCGACTCATATACAAAGTATAAGTTTAGTTAACTGTTGCTGCTACTTTCAGGTACCTTCGAAAGGCATTCCATTCGTAAGTCCGGCACGATGGGTCATTTTCCGCATGAAGGCCGGGGATCATTGAGTCGTCATGGCAACGGTGTGCAAACTTTGAGAAATTCCGAGAGTCGGGGCAGGCATACACCTGTTCCGGCTTTACACGAGCAAGCTCCAACAACTGGGTCTACAATGCTGGTGGCGGAAGACGGCTTCGTCAGGTTTCGAAATTTAGGTGCGGAAGAAGACGATTTATCTGATAGCCAGAGTATGGTGGGAACTCATGGTAGAGGGAGTTCGTTGGCCGGTAGCGTTAGATTTAATGCGAGGCATACCAACATTCAACACCAACATCAACATTCGCAGCACCAGCATCCTACTCAGCATCAACATCAGCATCAACACTCGTTGCAACATTCTCACCCGAGCCAACATCAGACGAGTCATCATCAACTCTACAACAATACGTAGAGATTCGTCGTCGTGCTAAATTATTACGATGATGCGGCTTAGTGAACCTATTTCATCGTTTATCAGCTGGATACGTCAAACGGCTCGATAAATGGATGGACTTATCGAACAAATAAATATATCGCGTTATAATTATATATAGAAATATATATATATATATATATATATATATATATGTATACACATATACACACACACACACACACACACACGCCAATTGAGAGAACTGATGATCGTTAGGTAAAAAGCGTAAGACGCTTTTTCGTCGACATTGTCGTATAATGTCCGAGTAATTTTTTTAATTTGTATATCTTTGCGAAACGCGGTATCGCGTTGTCATCGTCATCGAAAAAAAAAAAAGAAAAAGGAAAAAGAAAACGTGAAAAGTGTTCCCAGTGCGCTCTGCGCGAGTGTCGATTTGTACCTCGCGAATTAAATTTTTCTTGGACGACTCTCGTTTCATCATGCAGGGATGAGGGATGAAAGTCCCTAGGTATACCAAAAGTTTCTAGGCGACATTAAAAATCAATTTTATCACTTTTAGAGACATTTAGGCTAAACTTTTTTTTTCTTTCTTTGTTTTTTCTTTCATCTTTTTTCCCCTGAGATTGTAAAATTACGACTATAACTCGTCAAACTACAAAACCTAAACTATGCGCCTGATAAGTCTCGAAAAAAAAAAGTAATTGATTTTTATAATCACGTAGGAACTTTTGGTCTGTTCTGTATTATCGCGAAAAGAAGATATTGTCTCCCCCTTGTTGTATAGAAAAAAAAAGGAAAAAAAAAAAAAAGAAAAAAAAATCATTCCTATATATTTCTCACTCCTCTCCTTTTTACGTGTTATTATCATCACGTCTTATTAACACGCGCATCATCTAACTTTGCGAGTCGAGCCGCTACCCCTACTCTAATGTACTTATATTTATTTTCTATCTTCTAATAGGCGAAGAAAGAAAGAAAGAAAACAAGTAAACAAGTATACGACGAATTCTCGTTCATGAAAACGAGATTCATGTTTCGTATCTGGATAGTCCAGGGTATTTCGAGTCGTAATGTTATTAATTAGGCACTTGGTACTTAATAAGATGATAAATACGTGTGATTGAAAAGAAAAGAAAAAAAAAAATAAGAAGTTATACGGTATCTCTCCCTCAACGTAATGTAATGGAAGCAAGCTTTATTCTCATATATATTTTATCATTTTTTTATTTATTGTTATTATTATTATTATTAGTATTATTATTGTTGTTATTATTCTCTGTCCGATTAATATTAAACTCGGCTATATGAAATGGAGTGGAAGAATGAACGATTCAATTTTTTTTTTTTTTTTTTATATATATATACTGATAACTTATATCCATAATAATAATAATAATAATAATAATAATAATAATAATAATAATAATAATACAATAAAAAAATAATAATAGATGGTCGATAAAAAAATATTTTGCCTTTTGTTCAATATGGCGCCATATAATACGTAAATCACACATCTGTTCTCTTTTGGTGCGCTCGTCCTTTAAATTCTCGCGTGTATTCAAAATGACGTCCGTTTTACTGATGTTCAATGGGAGATATATTTTTCAATCAAAAACACCCATACATACTAAAAAGTAAAAGTCGATCATGATTTTTCAAACGTATATTATTATTTAAAAAGAAAAAAAGAAAAAAAGAAAAAAAGAAAAAAAGAAAAATGCGATTATCTTAAAAACGGTATATTCTAAAAGGAGACATATTCTCTTATTGAAAGCTAATTATTGTCGAACTAAACGAAAAGAAAAAAAGGAATACACCGTTTGTACAGTCAATATTAATAATTGATAATTTAACGACCGATCGTTATGAATGTACATTTTATTCATCGTCCAACAACCCTCTTTGAGCCGTATAAAATTGATTAGTTTTATTTAAAAAATATAAATTAAACAATCAATTTTGATATCGATGTTCCTTTTAGCGCATGTCAAAGTTATTTATAAAATATAATGCATTTATTATCAATGCTCTTATATATTGTGTTTTGAAATATTCATCAATTGTTAATTATGCAAAAAACGAAAACAAAAGACAGGAGGAAATCACATAATATTTATTATTATTGCAAACACATGTGCACTGACGTTAAGTTTTCTCTTGGCAAGTTGCAATAAGGTCACGTGATGAAATCAATGAGAAAAAGGAAGAAGGTGCAATGTACCTTTACAATGCTATCTAAGTTATTTTAGAAATAATATCAGAATGTGTGTGGTCATAGTATTGAAGCATTGTGTAATTTTAATGTTATACGTTTATAGAAGAGGCTACGGAGGGTTTAGTTTAAGTTATAAGAACTTTGAACATATGTTTAATTTATATTATTAAGATTTAGCATTTAATTAGACATATGATATATATATATATATATATATATATATATCATTAATTTTTTAGCGAGCAAATACAAGCGAATAAGACAATTTGACATACGAGCCAGTAATTATTTTTCTTATTTTTGTATTTTTGTGTTTTTAAAAATGTTTTTTTTTACTTCTCAGAACCTAATGGTACAAAGTAGGAGTTTCTACTTTTCCTTTCGTATATTAATATATAGGCTTAAGCAGTCGTGCAGTCTGTATGTTTATATTGACATTGTAAATACGACGGTACATATACACAGAATCTTATAATTGATGATAAATATATTTGTCACACGGTAGATTTTTACATGAAAAGACGATTCAAAAATCTATCGGTAGGTTGTCCGCAATTTTAATTCTCGACATCATATCTCAATTGTAAATTCCAATGAACACGCTCTCGTTTTTTAATTTATAACAGAAATCTGTATTTATTATGTGAGAAATACATTCCACAGAGAGAGAGAGAGAGAAAGAGAGAGGCGAATTAGTGGAATTTTATTGCTATTTTAGATTAACATAATACGGAAAAGAGAGAGAGAAAGAAAGAGAGAAAAGAAAGAGAAAGAAAGAGAGAGAGAGAGAGAAAGAAAGAGAGAGAGAGAGAGAGAGAGAGAGAGAGAAAGAGAGAGAGGAACAAATGTGTAAATAAAAGCTTTTTGCGAAATATTATATGCTCGTCTCAGCTTATCATTTTCTAATAAGTATTTCAATATGTTTATGCGGGTTTGTATGAGTTACATGCGCGTAGATCTCTGTATGTGCGCATACTGTACATAGATATGTATAAATGTAGATAAGTGATATCTCTAAAAGACACCAAATAACTTAAATGTATTGCTCTTTGAAATTATGATTTATATAAATAATTGAATTGTATTTTGCATTTCGAAAAATTGGCACACCAAAAATTTCAAGAGTATTAATTCGTATTGAATTTATTTGAAATCGTATTAAATTCGTATAAAATCGTATAAAATTATTAAAAAAAATAAGAGATAATTAGACTTTTGTAAAATTCAATTTTTTGTGCGTCTAATCCAATAATTAGTATATTCGAAAGAAGCGGGTAATAGAAAAATGGCCGTAGATGTCGCCTCGGACGCATTAATATATACATAAATATATTTTTTTAAAAGTAATTGCAGTATAACGACTATATTGGGATCATAAGTGCGTATGTTCGATTAGAAAGGATCTGATTGAAAATGAAATTTGGTGAGTGATTTTTTTCTTTTATTACATATTTAAATAAGATACAATAATTTAATCTCTATATCTAGCGTCTAGAAAAATTATCATGTGTTCGTCAATTCGATAAAAAAAAAAAAAAAGAACAAGAAATGACAGATTCATTTACTTAGAGATACATATAGATATATACATATTCGTGTACAGATTAAGAGCGATATTTTGCGTATTAACATTTGATAAAAAGAAATTTTTTGCCAATGAAAGAAAATTGATCGTAAAAATAATTTTTTGGTTATGACAAAATTAAGTCCAAACTAATTTGATCGCAGATGTTATCTACAATATTTCTTTTTCTTTTTTTTTCTTTTCCTTTTTTTTTCCATAATCTTAACAATCAATGTGATGCCCATTTGTCATAATTATTTCTTATTCGCGATCTTTTTATGTATATATATATTTATTTATTCGTTTATTTAAAATATTAACCGAAAAATATAAGTGACTGAGATTTCATGAAGAAGTAATGAAAATCTCTGCAAGATGTCGCTCGTACACGTACAGGGGCAGTTCTAAGCTATTTACACGCAATAAATTGCAACAATCTTTTTAGTCGATCATTTTCAATGAGCAAATTGCCACTTGAGAGTCTGGTGCCCTACCGAATGGCTTTGAATCATCCGGTGCTATATACTCGTTCACTCGATAGGTCAACATCGTTTCATACGCATATACGTCTATAGCAAGTTGCTAAAAATTTAAGAGAAAAAAAATATTTATCGTTTTTTTTTTTCTTCACATATAAGAGCGATTTGAAAAGAAGAATTTTTTTGTTTTATAAATTTAATTCTTAAAGTGAAACGCATCGTGAAGCGAAAAAAAAATAAATTAATTTGTCAAATTGCATTATTAGATACGGATGTGTCGATAAGTTAGTTACTTGCAGATATCGATTATCGACCGAGAATAAAGAATTACCTGCGTCAAGGGACTCGTATTCGTCGTGAATATACCACCGTATTCCTTTTTCCTGGCAACTCTCAAACAATATTCTTCCATTTCTCCTATAATTATAACATTTTCCGCTGGCGCTAAATCAGAATGCGTCGCCATCATAAAATTATGTATTATCTGTCCCTTTCCCTTCGGCAATTTTTTCTCTCTGATTGGTTTCTCCAAATATTCGAGAAAGTCAAAGACTATCGTTAATTTTGAGTCAATCTCAACTTCCGGCTCGTCCCATAGATCGAAATTCAAGCTAACGCCGATAACTCGATCGTCTTGAGATGATTTTACAACGAAACTTAAATCTTTTTCGATCAATGGCTCCCATAACTTTTCCATCAATATTCGGTAATCCTCTCTGCTTATGTCATCTATCAACCATTGCTCTAAATCGGCTTTCGAGTAGAAACTTTCTGTGATTATCCTGGAATAATGAAAGGGATAAACGATATGTTAAAAAAGTCGTTCGTTGAAAAACATTAGATAATATCCTTAATTCTTTGTTTACTTAATCTCTGTAAATTTTATACGCATAAAACTATATAAGTAATTAAATGCAACATATCTAACTTTTACTTTTGATGTCAAGTGAAATTCATGAAATGTAGTGAAAAAATGTCGTGAAAAATATTCCGCTTATATAAGGATCCTAAGATACATACTTGATCGCGTTCTCTTTGTGTGAATCGTTCAACATTTCGAAATATCGTTGCTCCTCGTCGATGTTCTCTTTCAAATTATCTTCCTTGGTGTTGGTCTTCAATAGTCTTAAAACATCGGCCAATGTTTTAGCCGTGATAAATTCCGTTATACCAATGGAATAACCTTGATCCCTTAATTTTGTAACGGTATAGACAGAATTCAAGGAATTTCCACCAAGTTCGTAAAAGTTCCCCTCCAAATTTACTGTTCCTCGATTGCTTGCACCAATCACGGTTGCAATCGTGGGAAACAATACTTTGGCTTTCGCAAGATCTTCTTCTGATACACCGGTATAATCGCAATTAGCGATTTCGTCGTTCTCTAAATATGCCGAGAAAAGGTCGAGAAGAATCATCATTAAATTTTCCAAGTAAACTCTAATCGTTTGATTGTTAAAAAGTCTTCTACCAATGGATCTTTATCTCTAATGATTAATGTAATGACGATGCAGAGTTACGAAGAATCTAGTAAATTTCTTAAGCTCTCCTTATGAAATCGCGTGGATACAAAGATAAATACGGAAAAAGAGAGAAATAAATAAAGAAATACAAATTACCTACCATTAACGAGATTCGATGATTCATATTGTTTGAAGAGCATCTGACGATCGGTTTTACCGTTCGTTAAAAGCGGTATGTGATTAACGATTATAACCTGCGGTTGCATGTAAAGTGGCATTCTCTTTTGTAAAGCAACTTCGATTTCCCTACTACTGATCTTAGTTTCCTCCTTTACCGTTATAAACGCCAGTAATGCCTATTTACGTAAAGAAACGAAAAAAGTGTCTTTTTATTAGACTCACAATCAGCTTTTATCTATTCTCTCATTGGAAATTTACGAGATCGATTTCAAGATAAAAAGATCGTTAAAAATGTAAAAGAATTTGTTCTCACCTGCGACAAATCACCAGGCTTGTAACAAAGTACTACGGCCTTATCGATTTCCGGCGTTTTCGATACGATTTTTTCAACTTCGGAAAGATCAACCCGGTGACCCCGAACTTTGACTTGAGAATCGACACGTCCTTCGTATATCATCGTTCCCTTGACGATTTTTGCGTAATCACCGGTCCGAAAAACTCTCGAGTATTCTGTCGAGAAAATAAATGTCATTCGAAAATGACGAATCAAAGTTTTTTTATTTTCTTTTTTCTTTTTTTTTTTTTCTTTTTTTTTACTCCTTATTTGCTTTTGCCTTTGCCATCTAATTTCTGTTTCCTATCCGTTCGTTTGTTCGTAGCGTTAGCAATAATTAAATATACTTTCAATTTTTTATCTTCTTCAAGAATATCATTCAAACGATACTCATTATTGTTACCTTAGATCTATCGGAATTATAACTTAGATAAAATTAATTAAATATTGCAAGACCTTTATTAGAAAATTTTTTCTTCTTTTTTCCTTTTCGTGGATTTACAGCGAACAGAAATATTGAAATCTATAGAATTAATTAATTAAGCCTTTTATACCTTTTTCATATTCTTCTCTCTCTCTCTCTCTTTCTCTCTCTCTCTCTCTCTCTCTCTCTTTCTCTCTCTCTCTCTCTCTCTCTCTCTCTCTCTCTCTCTCTCTCTCTCTCTCTCTCTCTCCCTCTGTTACTATCTAATAATCTCTGAAACCATTTACAATACACTATTTCTTATCTAGAGCATTCGTGCTCTACTTTGTTAACTGGTCTTATTTTTTATTGTGTCCTTTTTTGATTTTTTAGAAATTAGAGAAAGAAGATTACGAGTATTATAGAAAATGTTTGTGTGTGTGTGTGTGTGTGAATATTAATATAATATTCAGTGGCCTCATCGCATCCATCAGAGAAATAAGGTGTGATCCTTATTTATTGAATCATATAGAATTATAATTATTAGTAGATTTATTACGATCATTCGATCGAATATTGAATGATCAATATAACGTTATAATTTGAAAGTATTTCAATCTAAGATCGAAGAAAATTGAATGAGAAAAATTATCTTATATTATCGCGTGTCAGTGGATTGCAAAAAAAATTCAAACTTCAGTTGAATTTAATTAACGTGTATTATATATACATTAAATGTCATGGTATCTTGTATAATTACTTGTCCTTAAGAAAAGAGGAAGGAAAATATGAAGAAGAGAGAGAGGGAGAGAGAGAGAGAGTGAGAGAGAAAGAGAGAGAGAGAGAGAGAGAGAGAAAGGGAGAGAGAGAGGAAGAGAGAGGGAGAGTGAGAGAGAGAAATATGAAATCTTGATTTCATTAATTCTTTACGTTTGTTGGACAAAACATATAACTGTTGCAATAAAGCAGATTTAAGCCGCATTGTTACGAAACAAAAATAAATATTATAATAACAAATGCAAAATATTTTATTTGTAGTAATGCATGACGCGTAATAGGAACAGTGGAATAAATAATAGAAAATATTTTCAGTTAATATTATGAAAAAATATGATAATAATAAATGATTATAATCAAAAGAGATTTAAAGGATGAGGCAAAAATTCTTATGTGATTTTAAAAGTCGATTACTTTTTTTTTTTTTTCGAAACTTTGAATTTTTGTAATTTTAAAACCTAAGTTTGTAGTTCTACGCTTTGAAAGAAAAAAAACAATTGGCCTAAAAGATCTCGAAAAAGAGTAATTGACTTTTAATAATCATTTAGAAAATTTTGACTCATCTTGCATAAATAGAAAAAAGAAATATGTATTCAAAAATCGATAAAAAAAACCAACCTGGATCGATCGCATATGGATTATCCATAAATCGATGAGATTCTCGATCTCGCAAATAGCCAACTGCCAAATTTCTACCAGCTACTAGTAATTCGCCGATTTCCCCTTGAGGTACCAAACGCATATCCTCGTTAACTAAATAGACCATGCAATTATCTAAAGGATTGCCTGAAATGAAAAGTGGAAAAAATTTCATTAAAAAAAAAAAAAAAAAAGAAAAAAACAAAGAATTATTTTGCACGTCGAATTATTATAGATTATATATATATATATAAAAATATATATATATATATATATATATATATATATATATATATATATATGGATATATATTCGAATATTCTAACTATTATAAGTTATACATATACACCAACGAATAAATACAATTTCTATGTACCTATATCTATATCTATATTAAATAGATATTGTATATTTGTGTGTGTGCCTATGTATAACTTCTACTAATTAAAATATTCGAATTATATAATATTAAGTGTAGCAATTTATGTAAAAGCAGGCATAAATGAGAAGAAATGAAGGAGAATGGTTAAAAGCGTAATATAAATTTATCGAGAATATATAATAAACTTATATGGAAACGTAAAAGAAACGTAATGCGATATCAACGTTTACGAAAATCGATAAAAACTATCATTATTTATATAATAAATTAGAATAAAATAATAATTAACAGTAATAAAATTAGAGTAGCATCATTAAATAATAATAATAAATTAAATTTTATCATTGAAAAAATTACTAATTAATTTCTCTTTCAAAATTTTAGAAATCAGAAAAAATTTTAATTTTTCATAAATTTTAAATGTCATATTTCTTAACGCAATTTAATGTCCTTTAATCTTTAATTTACATCTTTGCATTTTTATTTCTAATTATGATTTCGAATGTTAGATTGCTTGAAGAAAATCGGAGGAAAAATAAAGAAGAAAAAGCGGAAATGTTAGAACATTTGTGACATTTCAAGAGTTTTTTTGGAAAAAATAAATGTATTTCCGGGGGCGTGGAGAGAGAGAGAGAAAGAGAGAGAGAGAGAGAGAGAGAGAGAAAAAGAAAAATAAGAATGTGTTCTTGATTTCATTGACTATAGAGAATTTGAAATTAATAAACGTTGTGTTACTTTGTTTTTGATTAGTTTCTCATGATCGAAGTATATGCGAATAACTTTAAATATTTTATCGTCTGGAGAAAATCAAAAAATAATTTTTTTCTTTTATTTCATTTTTATTTTTCAAAATTATTTGTCTACGATAAAGAAGTGATTACTATAGAATAAAGAGAAAGTTGATTCTAATCATAGCACGTCATTAATAATTAGTTCGATTAGAATATGTTAAGAAAGATAAGAATAGAAAAAGAACAAAGAAATTTAAGTGAAGAACTTACCGATAGGTATTTTCTCTGATATCTCTAGATCGTTAAGACTGTGCATTATATGGTAAGTGACATCTCCCATGATTTCGGTGCTACCATAAAAATTTGCCAGCATCTTATTATCACCATGAAAGGTTATAAAGAACTGGTCTGCTAAGGAAGTCGATAACGTCTCGCCAGAACAGATCCAAAGTTTCAAAGAAGGCAGGGAGTTTTGTTTATTCTGAAAGATCAAGGAAAAGTCAAATAAGATCGAGATAAAATCTTTCTCTCGTTTATGCAAAATAGACAACGAGTTTTGCTTATTTTGGTAGATCAAGAAAAGGTTAAATAGATCATAATAAAATTTTTTTCACATTAGTACAAAATTGCAAATAAAGGCACTAGTTTTTTGCTTATTATAGAAGGTTAGGAAAGATAAAATTTTTCTCAAGATAAAATCTTTCCTTTCATATAATCCTTAGTATATCGAAATAAATTTGCTTTCATAACTTGTATTTTTATGTAAGAGTTCTACATGTCTACAAAGGTATTTGACAGATAATTATAACCATCAAAGTTCATAAATTATTCTTATTATCTTTATAAAAGTAAATTAAAATAAATATTTTATGGAAAATAATTGATAATGTCAGTTGAAATCTGTACATGCATATTATCTATTTATCTTTATTATTTCTTTTTTCTCACGTGTTATACTCATTATTATTTACATAATATTTTCAATTAATTATTACGATGTCCTTGTACCGATAGTTCGTTAAGTATTAAGAATATCTGTATAAGAATTAGAAATGAGAAAATGTGAACTAATCGCGGCCTTGTTGATTTTTTCCTCATTCATTTCTGCTTTTTCTTTTTCTTTTCTTATTTTATTTTCTCTCTTTTTAAATATTTCCGTAATATATTTGATATACTTTGGAATCGATCAATCGATCT